TCCAAGGCTGCTTGGTGGAGATGAGGAGCTTGGGGTGGCCGGAGCACTCCTGGACTTGAGCAAGCAAATCTCCGGGTAATGAGGGTTATATTGCCTCAGGGACCCATGGATTTGTCGCCAGGTCGGCAGGAAATCATGTAGAAAGTGTCGTAATGTCGACATCTTGTGTGTAAACAGTGTGTTGCGCCGTAGCTAGTCGATTGTCGTCGCTGGTCGTCGAGGTGAAGGCGCGGGAGCCGTGGGAAACATGTCCAGCATCTGGCGGACTGTTGATTTCCTGACACACTCTCGCGCTCCTCGATTTATGAGAGCAAGAGCTCGCGGAACATCCAAATTCTTATTGTATACTACAAATAGGACTCCGTGCTATCAGACAAAAAAATAATCAAGGTGAACGGGTAGACGGAGCGTGTACAATCATGCAAACAAGCTTAAGTGTCCAGGATCTATCGGCATGATAGTAGCACTGACAGGGCGCCTGGGCGCGCATCCGACGAAGGACCGACGGCCCCTCCGCTGCCCGATGTTGGGTTGACCCCAAAGTACTCGTATACATCGTTTGCATTGCCCCATGCCGCATCCCACCGGGAGCTCATGCGGATGAATGCCTCCATTACCATTTCGTCCGAGAAGGACCCGCGCAGATGAGCTTCCGAAATGAACTTCGCGACCTTTCTTGAACAATCGGGGGCGGTGTCCGAATGGTAGCCCAGAAAACCGACAAGATCATTCCAGTCCACCCTCAAGTCTCTTTCAGCGACATGGCCTCCGTCACCAGGCTCGATCGATAGTGACAGTGCGTCAACCAAACAGTCACCAAACACAACCATACCCTTGGAACAGCGTTGGTGATCCGTCCCACCATATATCTCGCTCCAGTATGACTTTGCCTTGGTGACGCACGACACCGCGGCCCAGAAGCGACGACGTTCCCCCTGACTCGAACGAAACTTGTCACGGTTGTAACATGAACATGCAAGCTCAAGCATGGCGGCCATGTCTTTCGCATCTGCAAACTTCCAGTCAGCCTTACTATCGCCACAGGAAAGGTACGCATGCACCCAGGGAGTAGAAAGGTATCATCTTCGTAAAGGAGAAAATTATAGCAGAAATCTTCGGAATCACCCTATCTATCCGGAAGGACTGCGAGGAGTTTGCCAGATTTCCGAGAAGGAAGATGGCGCATGTGAAATGGAGACTGTCACTCTGTCCTGCGATCAAGGTCATCATGATCAGCGAGTTGACGTAGAAGTAAGACCAGTCGTCGACGTCTCCAAACAGAATATCCTGGAGCATATCGAGACCGGACTGAAGTAGTTTGAATATGAGTATAACTTGTGTGTCGTTGAAGGATGTCAGTGAATCGAAGGCACGATGCAAAAGTTGGTCATAGGAGATATCAAATATACCCTTGACATCATCGTAGTTGCATTCCCTGGCGAGTACATCGAACGCCGGGATAGTGGGTCCGACACATGGCCTCCCAAGCAGTTCGCAGATGGCCTTCCAGCACCCATGGAGGAAGTACTTCTTCGGTATTATGAGATTAGAATCATCCAATGTTTTAAGAGCGGCACGGGTGCGCATGCGCGGTCCAGGTGCATCGGAGATGCATTGCGCAATCACACCGTCTCCAGGTTCCTCGTGTGAGGCAAGCCACAGCAGCGAGTGGAATTGGGAGGCGATGCTGCTTGCGGGATCACGTTCAAAGTGCCGTAATGCGAGATCACGATGATCCCATCCGTCGAAAGCGTAGCTATCGACATGGGGGACCGAACGGTAATCTCTGAATCCCGGGGTAAGGAGCATCAACTCCAGGTCTTGCCAAGTGGATGATTGCGCTCTCACTCTCCGCGGCATATACTTATCAAGGAGGCGATATAATGGTCGTAGAGTCGCCAATATCATCCAACCAAAGGGTGTCTTGTATGGACAAGTGTCGAAAAAAAGTGGTAGCAGAACAGTCAGCGTTGCCAGGGATATGGTCAGGCCAGCCGCAGCGCAGCACACTCCAGCCACGACGGTGTCAATAGGCCACAGAAGAGTGACAAGACCCACGAAGAACAGCACGACCGCGAGCTGCAAGAGGCCAGGAACCAACGTCACAATAGTGGGGACCTTCCATTTTTGAAAGGCATCGTAGCGAAACTTCCGCAGCTGTATGGCGTGCTGGACGGGGGAGATATTCGGCCATGCCATGTACTCGCGAAGCCATTGCTTCACGAATATGCCGAGCAGAGCGGAGGCAAGTGCAAGGATAAGGCTCAAGAACCAGAGGGTGTTGATCGCGACCACATGAGAATCAGCCTGAAAGGACATGTTGAGCGCATCGATGGACGCAGGGGCGGCTTGGTTCAAGGAGATCTGTTGGAGCTGGAGAGAAATATTCGATAGGAGCTGGATGGAAAGCTGAGTGTTGTCCGGCTGCAACTGGGTGTACACTTCGATCAGGAACGCGGTGAGAACCGCAGAGAACAGACCAGCCTACCAACGCACGTCGCGTTAACAAGAGCGGTGATAGATGAAGAGAATAGCGCACGAAAATGAGGAGGTTATCGATATCCTCCGAGTATCCCTTGATCATCTCCAGATCATATATCTGCAGCCGCTTGTACACGTAGTCCCAGCCCGAGACATCTGATTTTGCCGGCTTGTCTGGCGCGAGCTGTCAAAGGGTCGCATTTCAGTAACTTGCACCGTTATCCGAGAATGTCAGGTCTTACCTTCGTCTTCTGGTCGTCTGCGGATGGCGGGTCGTTACGATTGCCCGCTGAGCCGTCGACGTTTTGAGTTCCTGGACCTGATTCGCCCACTACGAGCCTGGCAGCTTCGTTACGAGCATCTCCTCCTTGGCTCGTGGATCGGCGATTTCCGGTGTGCGGCACGTCCTACAGTAAACCAATCAGTGACCGCCGTTTGAACAGTAAGGGGCTAGACCTCGTCTCACATGCAGCAGGGATTCTTCTGGAGGATCAGGCCCTCGTTCAGTGATGTCTAACACCGGGCTGGAGGGTGGTGGCGACGCCATTCGAAAGCGAGTTGAAGAGGTGTGAGTGGTATGGATAGAGAGAGGAGGGAGCGGAGGGAGCGCGGCGCAAGGCGTTTATAGCTCCTGGCAGTAGGCGCTCAAGCGCAGAGCTAAGCTTCATATTGGCCCAGGATAGTTTGCGGCGTACGTGTGTTGACAGCGTGTGTGTACCACATCCCATATACGTACTTATGAGTGCATATGTCCCGTTCCATAGAGATCCTCTTGTTCCTTGCTCGGTCCAGGACCGAAGACGTCGCACGGCTCTCAGCAGGAGAACCTGGAGAAGGATGAAGTCGGCGAGGACGAGCGCGAGCACCACCACCAACTGCTTTGCTCGTTGATGAACTTCCCTTTTTTGCTACGTACTCAATCGCATTGCCTTCGATACAACATGAAAAACAACTCCATCCTTGTCGGAACACGTTGCTTGGCGTATCAAACATACCGCGACGGTCTGGGTTTACTTTGGGACCCAGGACGCGCTCCGTGGGGCCCGGAGGCCGACCACCAGCGCGAAACATATCGTATCAGGTCGACAATTTGGACCCACGATGTTTACTTCCGTCTTCGCCGACGACGACCATACCCGCCCAACCACAAGACTTGATCGTCTCCGCCAACGTTGGCTCATCCTCCCTCAAGATCCTCCTTAACCTTTCAGCTCTTCCTCATGACCAGACACAGGAAACCTTCGACAAGTCTCAGACGTATGGCCGTGACAAGGCCAAGTTTTCCCTGTTCTCAGGGCTCTACAAGCAGGTCTATACTTGTCTTGAGCCTTCTGGCGACTATCTCTCCTCCCGGCAGGTGGGCTTCACATCCCAAAACGAGAATGACACTTTCTCCGACTCCAGTCACGACGTCAAGAAGGAGAAGGAAAACTTCATCAGAGACCACGCTCCCGCCCTCTCTTCCTGGATCACTTGGAGATCGAATTCGGGCAGAGAGACGTTGAGTAGTTCAGGCACCGCGTCGTACACAACGGCGACTACTTCGAGCCTGTCGCTATCTCCTTCATCCTCCAAGCCCTACACGGAGATGCTCGCCGACCTCACGTCTTTGCACGGCTCCTTCTTCCTATTCCTGATGATATGGTATGCTGACGCTTGCATTTGGATAGACCCACCGGCGCCGCCCTGGCAGCCCTTTAGGACTCGCTCAAATTTCTGCCAAACGCACGCTCGATTGACGATTTCAACACAACCTTCGGTAGACTCTTCATCCCCGCATATCCTCTAACGTCGTCAACTCCTCCATAGCTCGCCAACGCAGCCTCCAAAATACGGCCTTCATGGGATTTCATGTACGTGTCTACCCTTCCTCGCCCCTCCGCACTCATCTCATATCATATTACATGATGCAGACACGTGCATCCTCCGCACCGTCTTCGCCACGTTCGCGAACCCACCTCCCAAGTATCCGCCATCGCACTCTACCTCGGCATCAGCGCCTACGCAAGCGCCATCCAGGCCGGCGATTCTATTGACACCTCTGTGGGCCTCACCCCGGCCCTCGGCCTCAGGGCCGCGATGAACCTGAGCCTGATACTCCGGCAGTAGGTACACCAACACCGCTGATCGCATCTCCCACGATCCCGCGCACGCGACGAACGTGAAGGAGATTCATGAACAAGAACGGGTGGTACGCCATGGCCGGCTCCGCGATCTCAGAGGTATCGCGAAAACGGGACATGAACTAGAAGAGGACGGTTTGCGATAGTATCGTCTCCTTCAGCTCGGAAACGTAAGGCCGAAAATGCTGATTTTTTTTTTTCTCGTCGTCTGTAGGTTGGCCTGCGACCCGCCGGTGGACCGCATCCGCGCCTACACTCTTGGGAAATCTTGTCGCATTCATCATCGCGGGGAGGAAGGGGTAGAGGGCTCGGTGGTCTCATTCAATCTTACATGGTGTATGGTCCTATGCGGTAACGATGATCCATGTGGAGGAGCAGAAGGGTCCCGAACGCGAACATCATGGACGTGTAGACGTTTGAGCGGATTAACGCTTACCTCCGAGCTCTTCTACCTGAAGCAAAGGCTGCAGTCAATCTGTAGAATACCGCAGGCGCGTCGAATTGCAAGCCCGATCGTGTATCGTCAAAAATTATGCATATTCAGGGCTACGGAACATCCTCACCACGCCGAAACAGCGGTCACCGTCACCCGCGCCCTCGCCTTGATGGCCTTGTACTGCTCGAAATCTCGGACGCTGCGCCCGGGAAATGTGATGAACTCAACGAACTGGACGGTCGAAGATGGACAGCCTGAACCGACGTCGTGTAATCGCCGTTTCTCCAACAGCTCGACGCAGCAGTCCAATATCTCGCCGGCCAAGCGAGGTTTCTCGGTGAACACCGCGATTGCGAGAGACGTCAAGTCGGGGGCCAGGTCATCAGTGACGAGGATCGGCAGGATGTCTCTGGCCAGGCTCGGACAGCGCAGCGAGAGAGATCGCACATGAGGATTGTGACGGAGCAGAGCAGAACAAACGCGCGACGACCCGCTGTATCGATCGGCAAAGGACAGGGCCACTGGTTTGAGAGCGACCAGCCGAGAACTCAGCGTCTCGAGGATGTCAAGCTTCTCCTCCTCTTCTACATCGTCCATCAGGAACGTAATCGTGAGCGAATGCTCTTCCGGTTTTTGCGAATGTTGTGAGAAGGGGGCACAACAAATGGAGAAGGAGCCGAGCATCGATATCTCGAGGGCCGTAGAATTTTCCCCGCCCTCGGAAGGCGCCTTTGCTTGGAGCACATCGCAATGCATCGTCGCAAAGTCCCAGATCTGTTGTGCTTTTGCTTTTCCGCCTTGTTCGCAACAAAGATAGAGTCGACATAGAGGTCGGAATCTCAGACATTGAAGAAACGAGAGACAGTCTCGTGCATGGTGGCTTGTGATGGCAAGATCCTTGAGAGTGAGCAAGTCCACGACTCTATCGGATTCTCCTTGAACATCGCACTGCAGGGCACCGAAATTCGTCGAAGCGACAGGCAGCGCATGATGCAACGACAGTTTCTCCAGGTGCTGCAGTTGCCCGAGAACTCCCAGTATGTTCTGTAATGATGGGGAAGGGCCCGCTAGGCTGGCGTGGATGTGCAAACTGCGCAATCGCGGCGCCAGGAACAGCGGAGAAGACCATGAGTCAAGGCCCACATTGATCAAAGTCAATGAACTAAGATCTGGGGCCGTCAACGCATTCAAACGCTCGCGGATAGCAGAGTCCTTGGCCTGATATGAACCGAGCAGCTCGATAACTAGGCGCCGCAACCAAGGTGCTGGGCCCCGAAAGCTCAAGGGGAACATATGAGACGATAACTTGACGTCCAATTCCAGGAGACGCGATGGATCGCCTAGCGCCCGGTTTACGAACTTTTGCACGATTACCGACGACCACCGCGCGGATCCAAACACCTTGACAGGGAAGGAGGAATGCTCGTAGAGCGCGAGAGAGAGCTTAGGGCGAGCGATGTTCAAGACGTTCCACAATGCCGGAGTTCCCAGCGCGACGCGCCTCCAAGAGCTGCATACGTGAGCCGATCGCGGGAATTGTGGGATATACTCGTCGGAGACGCCTTGGCGATCATGTTGGACAAGAGAAAGCACATCAGAGAGAATCTCTGGTGGAAGACTGAGGGCAGGAAGACCGGCGTTATACTCTTGTAGAACTGTAGCCATCTCGCGCCGGACGCGCAGGATCTCGCCCCTCAGGTTACTGAGTTTGTGACGAACGGCAAGCGGGACTGCTGCGGGAAAGAATGTCGTGTCCTCAAGGTTGAGCGACAAATCAAGACAGCACAGAGAGCGGCACTGAAACCTGCACGGACGTCCAACCAATATGTAAGTAGCAAGAGAGCAACATGAGTTCTGATTTACTTCGTCATTTTGCGATCCTCAGTCTATATGAGCAGCAACTTCAGGATTTTGTACTTGGTATCTGATTGGTGTCTAATCAGAGTGCATTAGTACAGAGCAACGACACAAGGAGGAGTTGGCACACTAGCGAAGGTCCGCCGCACCCGCAGCGAGAAGAAATAGCTCGTCGAGCCGGAAGGCACGTCACCCGAGCTCATCCGGCGAACCCGTGACACGTCACCGGTCAGATGTTGCATCACAGGCGTAACACGGTCACTGCTGTCTTTCCTTGCCAATGAATGCATCACAATATAACCAAGCAGTCAAACGTAACGCGAAAGGCTGAAAATCACGGTTAATGTGCAGCATTGCAACAACAATTAATTCAGTCTACGGAGTGTAAGTACAAATCTGGAACCTGTGGCCGGGATACGCTGGTGAGCGTAGTAAGCAACTGGCTCACCATTTATATTGATCAGCTCGTCAAGTGAGACTACATATGCCATCTTGTTATTGTGTGCACTGATTCAAACATCCCCAATCCAGGACCATGAACTAAGTACTTTCGTATATTCACCTCCCAGCTAGTGGACGTGCATTCCTAGACGAGAACTTAGTGCTGCCCGCGTCATCCAATGCAGAATGTTGGCGCGGCCAGGCTCGACTCCTGTATGTATGACGAGGCTGTCTTTTTACTCTCCTACATAAAACTTCCTCGTCTTCGACGCAAGACGACGGTCAATCTTGTTTTGGCGCCGGGCCTCTATCACGAACCGGGGCTCTATCCCTATCCAGCCCGTCCTCCCCATCATAACCATCTGCAGCTGGGTATGATTGCACGATCTCACGCCGTTCACCGTGATCCATCTGACCATCCTCCACAGCCGACGATCTGTTGCGCAAGGCCCCAGCATGAAGAAGCGGATCGTCGGCGACTCTCTCTTGGCTTGATCCAGGCTGTCGCTCCTCGCTACTCGCAAGCTGAGGGTTGATTTTCTGCGCCTGCAGGGTCCTAGAAGTCGAATCGCCGTTTGGTGCGTCCATCGTGTGCTGGTCAAATCTTTCACCAAGGGGATCGTTGCCTTCTATGACAGTCGTGCCGATGACTTCCTCGCCGTGATTGTGTGACAGGGTATCTCGAGGCGCATTCGGTGTATGTCCAACAGCCCCTTCACGGCCCAATGGGGAGCAGATCTCGAAATGTTCGTGTACGTCGCTTGCGCTGCACCAGTTCGCATTCCAACGCCATCTCTCTCTAATGAATGCAGTTATGATCCTCTCGTCCGGAAGGGAGCCGCGCCGATGCGCGGTCAACACAAACTTTGCGATCCTGTTTGAACAATCGGGTGCGGCGTCCATATGACGTCCGAGAAATGTGATAAGGCGAGCCCAGTTCACTCTCATGTCTCCTTCCTGAACATGTACTTCGTTTCCAGGCTCGGTCCATAGGGATAGCGCATCCACCAAGCATTCCGCAAATGATCCCATAGACGAGCGCCAGCGTAGGACAGACATCAGGAAAAACCGGATTTGCTAAAAACCTCCTAAAACGTACTAAACCGTGCTCATTTAGTAGCTTTAGAGGGTTTCGGTACCCAATAAGCGTCTCTTTCGATAGTCCGATTTTTCCTGATGGAGTCCGTCGAACGTCCACCCTCGTTTGCATCCTCTGCTAGGATTCCTGTGGTGACGCACCTCACCGCGGTCCAGAAGCGATGACGATGTACTTGGCTTGACCGAAACGCGGCACGATCATAGCATAGACAGACGAGGTCAAGGACGCTAGTCATCTCTTCCACCTCTGCAAATATTCAGTTGACTGCGTTTGTAACCATACGGCGGTATGCACATACTTGTGAAGTAGAAAAAGAATATAGATTCCACACATGAACGGATCACGGCACATATCTTTATATCAAGAACGATGGTGGTATGGGCGTGGTGTTCGACGCTCGCTAGGATGTTCAAGAGGAATGTGATGTACGAAGCACCGAGATGATGATTTTGAACCGTGATAAAGCTCATCATTACTAGCGAATTGATGTAGAGGCCAGACGAATCATAACGGAGTCTATCGGGGTCAACGGCATTCGTTGAGGAGCGCATAAGCGTGTCGAGACCGGACCTGAGAAGCTCGAAGACAAGTACACATTGTGTGGCGTTGAACGATTCCAGGGAGGCGTATGCGCCATGTCGAAGTCCACGACGGGGGATATGGAAAGTTGCATGGGCATCGTCGTAAATGCACTCCCTGCTGAGTACGTCCATCGCCGGAATAGTGGATCCCACACACGGCATCCCAAACAGCTCGGAGATGGCCTTCCAGAACCCACGCAGACGCGCGGTTGGCATTTCGCGGAACGATGCGTCCTCTACGGACAGATATTCGAGGGCAGAACGGGTGCGCACTCGCGGACCTGGCGTAGCAGATATGCATTGCGCGATCACACCGGCTTCGGGTTCCTCGTGCGCGGCAAGCCATAGCAACGAGTGAGTTTGATGGGCGATGCTGTTCTCTGAATCGCGCCTGAAGCTCTGCAGGGCAAGATCACGATGATCCCAACCATCGAATGCGTACATGTCGGCGTGAGGGACGGAATAACGATAGCAGACGTTTTCAATCGCTTCGAGCGAGAGTGGCCAGTTCCAATGGTACATAGATTGCAAAGGTATTCTGATTGCGCGGTAGAAGGGTCGTAGAACGGATAAAGTCATCCATCCAAAAGGAGTCTTGTAGGGACAGTCATCGAACATGAGCGGCAATAGTACAGCAAGCGCTGCCACGGTCATAGTCATGCCGGCCGCAGCACAGCAGACGGCAGCTACTGTTATGTCAATCGGCCACAGAAGGGTGACAAGCCCGCCGAAGAACAACATAACCGCGAGTTGCAAGAGGCCGGGGACCAGCGTCACTATAGCGGGAACCTTCCACCGTTGAAAGGCATCGTAGCGAAACTTTCGAAGTTGTATGGCGTGTTGAAAGGGAGAGATGTTGGGCCATGCCATGTACTCGCGAAGCCACTGTTTCACGAATATGCCAAGGAGAGCAGAGGCAAGGGCGAGGATGAGGCTCAAAAACCAAAGAGTGTTGACGGCGACCACATGCGAGTCGGCCTGGAAGGATTTTTTTAGCGGATCGGTGGACGCAGGAGCGGCTTGATTCGATGAAATCTGCTGTAGTTGCAAAGACATGTTGGAGAGGAGCTGCACAGTCAGTTGGGTGTTGTCTGGTTGCAACTGGCTGTACACTTCGACCAGGAACGCGGTGAGGACTGCAGAAAACAGACCAGCCTGGAATGCACGGTGTGTAAAGAAAAGCGGGAGAAGGAGGCAAAGAGAGCGCACGAAGATGAGGAGACTGTCGATATCCTCGGAATATCCCTTGATCATTTCCCGGTCATATTGCTCTAGCCGCCCGTAAACATAGTCCCAGCCCGTGGCAGCAGATCTTGATGGCCTGTCTTGGGTGATCTGTTCGAAATGTACACCTTGATAAGCTGGGACACTTTTCAGAAGATCCTGGTTCACCTTCCAACTCGGATCGCGTATCGACGTTGGTTCCTGATAATTATCCGTTGGGTCGCCAGCGTCTCGAGCCTCGGACATAGGTTCGCCGGCTGACGGCATAGCGCCATTGATATGACTCGAGGATGGTCGACTGCCCTGCGAGCCGTCCTGCGGGTAACATATTGGCGATCCTCAGTCTGTGATACATAGCCCAACGGTCTCACCGTCACATGCAGCCCAAGTCCCCGTTCGATCCTGCGGCCTTCTTCGACGCTGGTCAACGCAGTTGGAGATCGTCGCGACAACATCCGATTGCGAGCTGATAGTGTGCGTGCTGAGGGGGCGGCGGCAACGAAGTGGTATGCACGCGGGGATGTGTGGGGTCGGGTATTGTCCGTGCAGCTCGTGGCTGTGCAATTTCTCCTTGCCCCGCTACTTGCCCGCGCCGGCGCGATCGACCCTCGCCTCACCTTTAGTTTCACTACACCAGCGCCGCCGATCCCGCTCATGCTAGCGATATGGGCTGTGGCGTATGGGGCGGAGGAGAACCTGAACGAGCAGAGCGGGCGGAAGGCTATGGCCGCTGACTCGGCGGATTTCCAGGGACATCGCGAAGCGAGATACGCACGAGAAGAGGCAGTGATCTTTGTCTTACCGTGCTCTGAAGAACGCGAAACTGAAGAGCGTGTTTTTTCTGTTTTGTAGGTCAACCTTTGATGCTTCGATGCTCGTGGACCGTGTCCTGGGCTACTTCGGCGCCTATTTCGTCGTGCTCCATGGAAACGTCGATGCCCTCATCTTCGCGGGTGGGAACCGCGAAAAGTCGGTTGAGCTCAAGGAGCGCATTGCAGATAGGATGAGGTGTTTGTGCTTGATGCCCCGTGGATACGAAGAAAGACGCGGGTGTGAGGGATGTGGAGAGGCCGGTGGACATCACCGTGGCACGACAGGAGGAAGAGGGAGGATTCGGACAGGGGATAATGGTGTTGGCGTGTAGAACGGACGAGCATTATGAGATCGGAAGACAGTGTATACTGGAGGATGAGTCCTGGAAGTGAGGGCATAGAAGGTGCGGGCGGTTGTACACATGCTCATCTTCGGTGCGCTGATGTTTTCAACGAAAGAAGACACAGATTATGTATAATATGATATCATGCAACATTGATTGTGCGCAACGTTACCTTCTACGCTTCAAACAACAAATTGGCTTCAAACGTCGGATTTTCCCATCACACGCCCCCCCCCCCGGTGTCGCCTTACCTGTCCTCCGCCCCAGGCGACGACTCGGTGCCATTCACGTCACCTACTCCAGCGTTGTCGGCGCGATCGTGCTCGACGCCTGTCCGGATGAGAACGCTGTTTGTTGCGCCCGCCCGCCCTCCGCCACCGTCTTGGCTTTCAGCGCGAGGTGGCGGTCGATCTTGACCCAACGACGGGACCCGGTCGTAGGCTGAAGATCTATCCAACGTGTCTTCCACATTCTGTCCGTCTATGGCAGGCGCTGATCGCTCGCTCGTACGCCGTCTGCCGAGATCCGGCTGACCACTATCTCCCCCCGCTAGACTCGATGAAGCACTACGTATTGAGGTTATCTCCGCATCTTTGAGCAAGTTGTGTCCGCCACGAGGAAGCGAGTGGTCATCGCTGTCGTTCACCTGTCCACCTTCGCTTCCCAGTTTCTGCACGCTGGTAGGCTGCGAGCCGGTTTCCCGCGCCTTCAGGGTCCTGGAAGTTGGCACCTCCTGCGACGTGTGCATTGTGTGCGGATCGGATTGCATGCCATCACGACCGTCGTTGTCCGAAACAATCTCGCTGATGACTGCTACATCGAGCCGTGGCTTCGAATCCGTCTCTTCACCCGAGTTTGTATGCGACAGGATACCTTTGGGAGGAACCAACCGAAGGCCGGCAACCCCACTTCTGCGGCGTGTAAAGCGAAAACCAAAATACTTGTATATATCCTTCACATTGTGCCAGGATGCCCCCCAAGCCGACGACGCTGTGATGAATGAGAGCAGGATAATGCCTGCTTGGTCTCCGAGCGTGCCGCGTGCTGCCGCATTCAAAATAGATGTCGTGACCTTTATGGAAAACTCGAGTACGGTGTCTCGATGGAATCCCAGAAACAGGACAAGAAGCGGCCAGTCCACCCGCAAGTCTTCTTTGGCAACATGCGCCTCGTTTCCAGGCTCAGTCCATAATGATAGCGCGTCCATCAAGCATTCTCCAAACGCTTGCATAACTGTGCGCCAGCGTTGGAAGGCCTCCGTCGAACGTTTATGCTCGCCACGCGCCAATACTCCGGTATTGGTGATGCACGTAACCGCGGCCCAGAAGCAACGGCATTGCAGAGGGCTTGACCGAAGCGTCTCGCGGTCATATAACGAGAGGAAAATGTCAAGAGTGTCGGCCATATCCTTCGCGTCTATCAATATTCAGTCAACAGTGAGTACGATCATGGCGGAGGCGGAGGTATGATGCACGTACTGGGTCGGAAGTTGGAATCCATTTTCACTGCACAGCGCTGAATTGCGGCGCAAATCTTCTTCTTATCCGCAGCGGCGATAGATGAGGATCGGGACAAATTTGCGATGTTATCTAGCAGGAGTTTCGGGTACAAAGCGCGTATAACTTGACTATTTTTCGTGATCAAGCTCATGCCTATTAGAGATTTGATGTAATAGCTGACTAAATCAGGGTCGGGATCACTTGTTGACGGGTTCATGAGCCTCTCCAGACCAGACTTGATCATGTCGAATATCAGCAGATCTTGTGTGTCGTTGAAGGATGCCGTGGGCTTGAAGTTACCGAGCAGAGAATTATGGGTTTCGAAGCTTTCCTTCGCCTCGTCATAGACCCATCCGCGGTAAGGTGTGTCAAACAGAGGGATAGTGGTTCCATCGCATGGCATATCGTATAGTTTGGCGATGGCCTTCCAGTACCCACGCAAGCGCTGCGTTGACAGTGAGGATTGTACCACCGCGGAGGGATCTTTGGATTCGAGGGCGGATCGGGTGCGCACGCGGGGACCTGGTGTATCGGAGATGCATTGGGCAATCACACCGTCGCCGGGTTCCTCGTGCGAGGCAAGCCACAGTAACGAGTGAATTTGATATGCGATACGGCTCTCGATATCGCGCCCAAAGCGCCGCAGAGAGAGGTCTCGGTGATCCCATCTATCAAATGCATACATGTCCGCGTGAAGCGAGCCGTAACGACGACATAAGTTTTCGACGGTTTTCAGCGAGTCCGGCCAGTCATAGAAGTACAGGGAGTTCATAGGTCCTTTGATTAAGCGATAGAACGGTCGTAGGATGGGCAAAATCGTCCATCCGAAAGGAGTCTTGTAAGGACAGGTTTCGAATCAAAGAGGCAAAAGTACGGCGAGTACCGCCAGCGATATGGTCATCCCGGCAGCAGAGCAGCATACCGCAGATACAATTGTATCGATTGGCCAGAGTAAAGCGACAAGTCCTCCAAAGAACAGCACAACCGCAACCTGCAAGAGACCAGGAACGAGCGTCACGATAGCGGGGACCTTCCACCTTTGGAATGCTTCATAGCGAAAATCCCGGAGTTGTATGGCGTGCTGAACCGGCGAAATATTGATCCATGACATGTACTCCCGTAGCCACTGTTTCACGAATATGCCAAGGAGAGCAGAGGCGAGTGCGAGGACAAGACTGAGAAACCAGAGCGTATTGATGGCGACCACATGCGCGTCGGCCTGGAAGGACATATCCAGCAGATTGCTAGATGCAGGGGCGGCTTGGTTCAGGGAGATCTGCTGGAGCTGGAAAGATATGTTGGAGAGGAGCTGGACCGATAATTGAGTGTTGTCCGGCTGCAACTGGGTGTACACTTCAACAAGAAACGCTGTAAGGACTGCAGAAAATAAACCGGCCTACAACGTATAATACGTGAGCAAGGAGAGGAAACATAAAGAAGGAACCGCACAAAGATGAGAAGACTATCGATATCCTCAGAGTATCCTTTGATCATTTCCCGATCATATATTTGCAGCCGCTTGTAGACGTAGTCCCATCCCGTCACGTCAGATGTCGACGGCTGCTCCTGTGGGGGACGGCGAGATAAGGTGGCGCCTAAGTGACTTGCGGCATTATCAATGGAGATCGTGGTTTACCTTCGCCTTTCGGTCGTGTGCGTACAGCGGATCTTCGGGATCGTTCGCTGTGTGGTCCACGTCGACTCTACCCACTTCTGGAAAGGCTCCAACGAGACCGTGAGCATCTCCTGCATGGCTCGAGAGCAGATGATCGTCCAGTAAATGGTCCTACGACGTACGATTTAGTGACTATCACGATCAAAATCAGCCTTTCGCCTCACGGGCAGCTCAGATTCATCCTTGGTATTGGCTCCGCCGAGTCCTTCTTCGACACCAACCAAATGAGTGGATAATCGTCGCAACGACATTTACTAGACACGCCCGAAATATGTGTTGGTGCAAAAGGGCAGATTGCGACGCGCGAGCAGCCATACGCATGATATATAGCTGCGAATTTATGATAGGCGCTCACCGCCCGAACGCGGAGCAAATGATAGCTTCACACACTGCACAGCACGTGTACATCCATGCTGCGGTCCGATTGCTTGACTAGCAGCGCACCCGCTAGGCATGTTGCATAGCTTCAAATTTGCTCGTACTGTCCTGTCGAGGTGGCTCTTGATGGGAGCCCGCCGTCATGTAACTCTGAGCGACGCTGCCGATTTTGTCTTTCATCGTCTCCTCCGGCCCGCCCAAGTCGACCAACGTCGCATAGTGAGTGTTTAACCATCGTTGGGGGACGGCGGCGAGGGACGAAAGTACAAAATTTCACAGGCTCTCGTGCCCCATGCCTTCTCCAAGGCCCTTGTTGTTCGCAGCTACGATATTGTCCCTAGCCTGCCCAACATCACCCAAAAATGATTCAGAACGAGACATGCAACCTTAAAAAAAAAAAACGAACCTCCTTGAGCAAGGCATCATCCACCTCCGGTAAAACCTCCTTGTCCTTCAACACCACGGACGTCCGCGACGCGCTCGGCGTGCGGCCTGGGCCGATGGTGCTCGAGCCTGTCTCCCAGGATGCGGGCACGATATCCCACCGCGTAGGCGGATTGGAGATGCACAGACACAGGTCTTCTGGTAGGTTAGGCCCGTGTTCGTGGTTGAACGCCTCACGAACGGCGTGCTCCTCTGGTTGTATGTAATCAGGGTATGCCCAGGATGTAGATCCGTTGACGCGGTACCTTCAGCCATAACGTGTAGCTGTGCCAACATGTCGTTGACGATTCGTTCTGCCGCGTCCCGGTATTGCCTCCGCCTGCAATGCGACGACATGATGAGCGACACATGCACAAGCGCCAGCATCGTGTGCCACGCACCTTCCGAGTTCGAGCAGCAGCTTGTTATACGAAAATTGATAGGAGATATATCGCAGCTGCAGGTTTTCAAGGTCCACTAAATGTCCATGCAGGTTGGTAATTTGCGTCGAGATTTGGATCTGCGCCGAGGAGGGTTGTTAATTCGGAGGCAGAGCAAGGAACAGTCACGGTCTACCTCAACGCGCTCAACGCGCTGGACCATATCATCCATCATCTCTTCTAGCTCGTCCAAATCATCCAGCGTCGCCCTGTGGGTGTCCAACTGTCCTTGGGCAGTCGAGAGAAATCGCTGCATTTGTTCGCTGCCCGTATAGATCAGTGTCGAGCGACAATCACAACGCATACAGACACGCTCACTAGCCGGTCTCGATGCTTGAACAGCTCTGCTCGAGTTCCGCGATGATAGACCCCAGCTCGCCAGCGTCCCGATGCATTTCTAATGGAGAAGGGAGCAAAAAGAACTTGTCAGACCGAGTTAAGGTGGACACTAGTACAGACCCCGTACCAGCCAGATCCTCGTCGTCGAACGCTGCCCCCGACTCCCCGTCCTTCAGTGCCGCGGCCATGGCATCATAGTGCGCCGCAAGCGACTCTAAGTGGTGTGCCATGCCGGTTGAGACGCGTTCTTGGACGCGGAGCACGTCCGAGACGCGTGCGAGCGATGGTCGCAGGGAGATGGTCGCCTCGAGAGGTGGAAGCTGGGAAGAGCGATTCATCGGCGTCTGCTCTTCCGGGGTGGGTTGCGCTGAGCCGTCGGGCGGAGAGCGATTGGACGTCGTAGGGTCGTTCATTGAGAGGGGCTGAGACTGTGCATACGGTGAAGGCACGGCAGGTGTGTTTGCCGTCGGAGAGGAAGGCAGTGCATTCTCGATGGCTTCAATGGCGGCTTCGATAGTGGTCGGCAAGCTTGCGATACCGTCCAGGGTTTTCTGGAGAGCACTTGAGTAAGGACCCGATATGGTCAACTGAGATACAACAAACTCACGTCTAGAACGGTCCTCTCATTCTCCATGAACTCCAGGATATCCTCAATCGCCCGTTCGTCCACGAAGTCCCGCAGCGTCTTCCACTTTCGCTTGTCCGACTTGAGGACGGCCGAAGCGGAGCCAGCGTTGCTGGGCCGTCTGACACCTCGGATAGTGTCAGGGCTCCCTCGCGCATCCTCGACCTCGTCGGGCGACGCAAACACGCCGTCATCCTCAGCATCAGGATCCGTGTAGAAGTCCGGGGGGACCGACTGCGTCCCCAGTGTTTCCAGTATCGCATCCAGCGCCGACGTGTGGCGTTGTCGTTGCCGGTCGTAGTCCTGGTGTCGCATCGTTAACGGAGGGTTTATAATGCCTGCAGTGGTGGGTTTACATACGTCGATAGTGCTCTCCAGCTCTGCCCGCTTTTGCTCGATGCTCTTCGCGACCTCTGCAGCCACCTTCAGCTGGCCAATCACAGCGTCCGAAATCCATCTATCAGGGAGCGTAGCGTTCAGTCACGATATGCGGTGATCGCTTTGGCGTAGTCAATAGCGTACCGAACGCGGGCGTCGAGCTCGAGCACGTCTATGGCCACATCTGCGGATAGATTTGTGAACGCATGCGCTCGGGAGCACAGGGACTCTCCATGTTGGAAAGCCTTCTTCGACTGAAGAACGAGAGAGACCAGGTCTGCTTGCGCCATTGAGTGCTGTGAACACTGAAGACTCCGCGATGGAGGATCGCTCGGATGGAAGGTACTGTATCGTCCCAAGTCTCGTACTAGAGCAACCACGATAATACTGACAAACAGTCGCCTTCGAAGGATTATACCAGTACGGTGAACACTGTGAGCCTTGTCAAGGACGACCTTACTGTCGACGCCGTATGTACGGCCGTCGCGCCGTTACGTGATTGTCGGGTTCGATCCTTCGGCAAGTTCCGCTCAACATACCAGCTTGCCTTGAAGTACATAAGTGGGTACGTAGTCACGGTGACTTCAGGCCTCTCTCGATCTTTGCTCCTCCATCTGTCTCCCTCTCTGTCTCCTCGATAAGGAGCTGGGTCAGCTCCTCCGTGCGTGTGGCAATCAGGCGCCGTTCTTACGTTCCTACTCCAATGACAAGGGCTTCAAGCTGACCATTCTCGCATTACACACTCGCCATCAGGTTCGTGGCTATAACGCAAGGTGTAACGGTATCGCCCAACTCATGAGCTCTGCGTGCCGTTCGAATAGGCGTAATCCACAGGCGATGAGTGTAACACGCCGTGACAGTAACTTGAATGCACCATGGATGGCAACTCCCGTCCGTACGTGGGTTGCGTGGACGCGAAAATTGGCAAACGCGATGACTGGTAGACTTCGTCAACAAGTTACGCCTGCTAATCAAAGGAAGGGCCGCACTCCGAAACAAAGCTCCGAAACATTACCTGCTGGAGCCGGCAGGATTCTACCCCCGGATCTTATCCTGGAGATCCTACGACACCTATCCGGCTCCGCCGCGACGGCACACTCGTTCGGAGACTGGTCCATGCGTGCCAGCCTAGCATCGCCAGCTCTTGTCTGTAAGGAATGGTACTCTCTGAGTTTACCGATTCTCTACGGCGCGCCCGAACTGTACTCTGTCAGCAAGGTCGAGCTCTTTGCGCGAACCGTAACCAGCCGGCCCAACCTAGCGCGCCTCGTGCGAACGTTAGAGTTGCTCCAACAATGAGCAGCAATTGGTGGCCTGGTCCCCCAGGTGAGGGAGAAGAGCCTTCAACGGACTGGCCCTCTTTCGAAAAAGATTATAATGTGCATGTGCAGCACATGATGTGCCTTGTCCACGAGGTACTCGCGTCCTGCCCGAACGTAGACGCGCTCTTCATTCCTGACATGAGGATTCCATCCCCGCTACCCTTTCCGAATGCGAAGGCGCCGTATAGCGTCATCCCTCTTCGTCGGATTACATTCTATCTTGCGGGCTCCCACGGTCGCGCGTTTGCCTGGGGCAAGCACGGCCTGACCTCTCGCTCTGCGACCACGGTCGTCGACCTCGACTTACGGAATGTCGAAGAGATCGTCATTGATTACGGTTGGGCTTACCGCGATCTTCATTTGCCCGCAACGCCTTCACTTCGTGTTCTCCGAGTCATTTCGTCAACCGTTGAGACCGAGTCCAGCTCGCGACTTGAGACACATCCATCCAACCTGCAAGTTCTCGAGTTGCGAGGCAATTACGTGCGCTCGGACGACTCCTATATGCATTCCATCGAAGCATACGCGGGTACCCTGTGCCAGCTCGTCCTTACAGGCTCACACGAGAGAGCTGCAGCACTTCGCCTTGATTTCCATAAATTGACGAAGCTCCGTCGCCTCGGTGTTGGTAACTTTGAGAAGGACACGAAACCCTTCGATACCCTCAAGGTACCTCCCTGGCTGGAAACCCTCGACGTGCATTGGGAATATTCTGACCGGCTCGGGCGCATGTGGCACACAACAGCTTCCTTCTTCGCTCGTGCCGATCTGATGATGACCTTCATCGCATCCGACGCATACTTCCACACGAGCAGGCGGAGAGGAGCTGAGATTTGTGCACAGATCCTGGGTCAGGCGCCTCCGAGCCTCGCACGCCTCTGCAATGACTGGAGCATTCCTCTCTCGGCGGCCGAACCGGAAGGTGTGTCCCCGCTTGATGTTCACTGGCGAGTTAAGCCCCCTTTCACACCCGTAATGTTTCCATAGCCCTTGGCCCCGGGTCCTATCAGCTCTTTGAAGACGGCATTCGAGCGAAGGCCGCATTGAATCCCTTCAGTTGGGGTATGATCCAAATTACCAAGAAACTATGATTAACTGCACTAGGCCGTTCTTTGGATCAGTCCTCATGGTTTCTGCAAAAATCTGCGAAGTACCGTGAGCTTATCATGGCATCGCATGATGAATCACCAGCTCGTTGGTGGTCTCAATAATTTCTTGCGTAGTGAAGTCGTGAAGCGGTCGCTAGAATCCACGCTGGAGTTCTTCGCGGTTTGAGGAGGACGAGGGCGCATCTAATTGATTCGATGCACTCATGAATCCCATCATTAGGGTGCCTCATCAGGTTCTTCTCCAGTAAGAGAGTTGAAAGCGTCTGTTGAACGTTGTAGATTATATTCGAGTTAGCGGTCCACCACGTGGCAACAACAACGGCTCGGGATTACCAGAGATCTCTCTCCGTTGGTCTTGTAAACATGTACTATGGTCTCAACCAGTCCTACCGTATCTGCTATGCATGACTTCACCATAACGACCTCTAGCTACTATGGGAAAATGCTACTCGACGTTAAACGCAATCTATGCACCCGGATCACACCCAACCCGACAGCCTGAGAGGCCATCCGTATTGGCAACCTTTCTATGAACGAGAATCGTGGTATTCCCTCGATCTTGTGCTCGCCAGCGACAACACCTCGGGATATACTGGTCCGATCCGATACCTACAATGTCCTCTGCACCCGATAGCTCTAGTCCTTACGCTAACCCCTACTTCCATAGCCAGCTCAGCTTCGCCTCATCCACCAACGCGACCGCCTCCGACCTCTCAGGCGCCGGCCGCGTACTCGGCACCCTCTTCTCCTGGGGCGGCCGCCACCTCGAACACGTCGTCGCTGGCAGCCCCCATCCTGACCCTCATGTGCAGCATGATGCCGACGCCGATGCAGTGACCATCGAACTCACCTTCGCCTCCGGGTCGAACAGCACGATCTCTAATATCGACGGGCACGGCAGGGCGCTCGGGCGCGCGATGGCGTGGGGTGGACGCGTGCTCGAGCGCTGGGCATTGTCCACGTCCGAGCGGCTTGGGCGGGGGCCGTCCGCCCCGATGATCAGGATCTTGAACGCTATGGCGCGGGCTCGAGGGACGCGATGCAGTGTGTGTGGGCTGGAGACCCCGTCGTCGTCCGCGTCGTCGACCACGAAGAAGAAGGAGGGGAAGAAGAAGAATGCGGAGGTGCGCCAGATGCTGCACCTGTGCGTCGACGTGCGGTGCGCGGGCTGTCGCGCGTCGTACGCGGAGGCGATGGCGAAGAGTGGGCTCGACGTCGGCAAATGCTTCCGGGGGCTGGTGAAGATGCTCAAGTGAGCTCAGATCCTTCGTTCGTTCCGCCGCCGATAATCGTATTGACGGATCGCATTAGCTCCCGCAACCCGTCATCCCGCGTCCTCGCCGTGCAGTACATCGCGATCCTCGCAGTAACCCACCCCGAGTTTCGCGCTCGCTTGCTCGAGCTGGGCGTGGACCATCGGCTGAGGCAGATTTGCGAAGACAGGCGACGTCTAGTTGACGCAGATATTGATTCGCTGTTGGCGCCCGCCCAACGCGCCCTCATCGCCCTGTCCGAAACGCGCGTTCTGGTCATACGCAAGGAATTCGACGCTGCGTACGAGAGCTCGTTGCGATCACCGTCTCAGACGCTCGTCAATTACTACCTGGCAACTGTGTACGTGCCCGAGCTCGACGTTCTCGAGTCCGCCATCAGAGCTTTGGTCTCATATACAACGTACGCGACAGCACTCAACCCCGTCTATCTGATACTGATCTTAACACTGGCTCATCATCAGCCACGCAGACATGTGTACCGTCGCCATCTCCTGCCTCACGGCTATCACGGATTTGCTCGCGGACGACGCGGCCCGGCTGCTCCTCGTTCTTGACGCAGTCGAGGAGGACTTTTACCTCTGGCTCTGGCTGCAGGCCGCGACGTCGCGCGACCCCGTCTGGCGGACGGCGGTCCACAAGTACGTCGAGAGCCTATACACCAGCCCGGGATACTTTGATCTGGTGCGTACATCGTCAACCATCGCCGCTCATCTTTCGCCTCGTCACAGAAGAGAGGAGGGGGGGGGGGGGGGGGGAGAACGAACCTGAACGTATCCGCAGCGTAGAAGACGTGGTCCGTCCCCGCCCGGCCATACGACGCGATGATGCAGGAGCTGTTTCCGGAGACGGCGGAGATCCTGCGCAGATCGAAGGAGCGCGAGGATCTCGAACTGAGAGGCGTCAGCCTCTCCAACATATGGGGTAGTCGCGACGACCAGGATTGAACTATGGACGACGACGAGGGATGCATTCTTGAATGAATACGGGAAAGGTGTGTACCTGATATAAAACCCTGCCGTAGTCGTCGCAATGGCTTATGATAGTGTGGCACAGTTCGCGAGATTCGCAACATCGGCTGGGTCCAGCAAGGGAATCTACGAACCCGACACTATGCATACAGTACAAGAATGCCCTGATCAGAAGCTCAAGAATGGTCAACTGTCGGTTCGTCCAGGCTCGCCCGCCAGTCAAGCATCTGTATTAAGGGCATTGCGAACCGGTGTTGGGCATGATGCATGATGTGTCGCCTCGCGAATAGACTCAAGTCATCCCGTATCAATGCCCCTGGTGCGCTATTTTTGGCACAGTGCGAGTGTGCTGCGAACTATCCCCGGCAGGTGGGCGGCACGACTTACAATCGAAAAGGGTCCGATTTCAAGAAAGTATACAGACCTGCCTTTTGGCGATCTCGTAGGACGTGCAACGAGGCCAACAGAAGCTTGGGGTCAGTCGACGTTTCCATAGGGAAGGAGGTGTCTCCGTAGGTTTACAGAGTCCCGGAAATCTTTCCGAAATGCCGAGTCATGCTCGTTGGTTTTGACTCTCGAGTTGTTCGTATCATCGCCGTCCTTGATAATGACAGCACTGGGATTGGTCTGTGCGCCGCAGCCAACGTGGGTGGTGTCACTTACACCTTGCCGTTCATTGGTCCGTTGCCGAGAACGCGCCACCGCGCGCGACCGATTATCTTGAGGCTTGAGCAAGTGTTGGTGAAGTCGTCCCATCGAACAGCGCGGTTGCATGCACAACGTATGAGGGGGCATGTGCCTCGTTACCCCGTCCGAGCCGTCGGCTTCCCGCGCAAACACAAGATTAGCTCGGAAGTAAGAAGCCCGACACGCTGCTCGCCCCTGTGCGAATCGCGGCAGATCGCGGCCCTTGGGACAAGCTCATTGTCTTTAACGTTCCGTCCTCGCCAAGGTTTATCAACCGCTTTGGTATTATAGCGAGCCTGCACGAGGCGTGGTCCAGATGAGCGGTTGCCCGTGGCTCGGCGCCGGGGTCATCCGCGGGGAGCGAGGACCGCGACGGCTTATCAGAGAGCTTTGGCAGCGAGCGCAACGTCGTCGACGGTACGGGTACTTGTTGAATGGCGTGGTCGATCGGCCGAAAAGACGAATACGGGCGCTGACTAGGAATGGTCGCAGAGACACAGCTGATGGTCCAAACATACATGGTGACGGCCGCACCAAAGCGACGGCCAGGGATACGATACGAAACCTCGTACGCGCTTCGTCGTGGGAATCAGTGACGCAGGTATTTATGGGGTCAGCCCATACCCCACAGGTATACGGACGGCTTGCCGCAACTCACTCGCCCTCTCTCTCTCACTCCGTCCTAGTACTACTACACGTACCCTCCTCCGACGTACTCAACTATGCGCGCGTTCACCAGGCAAATTCCCCGCGCCTGCCCAACAATCGCGCCCCGGGCGCGCTCCATCCACTCCGCGTTCACAGTCCTGGGTAACGCGAACACGTACACCGCGCCGCCGCCCGGCCGGCCCGCCGTATCCCCGCTCGAACAACACGGGCAACACAACTCGCCCCTCGACACCGTCTACGTCGTCTCGCGGCCCGATCCCGCCGACGCGCCCTACGACGTCCCCCTCGGCGCCTTCCCCACCTCGGCGCCCTACGCCCACTTCACGCCCTCGGAAAAACCGGACGTCGTGCTCAAGGACGGGTACTCGTCCACGGCCGCGACGCCGCCCCACCCGACCCTCACCGCCGCCGCCCCGCAGAACGCCGCGGGCGTGGGCGAGTCCGCCGCCGTGCGCCACGCGACCGCGCCGGGGGAGCTCCACGAGCGCGGGGGGAGCCATGGCGGGCTCGGCTTGATGGACAAGAGCGGCACGAGCGCCGGCCAGGGCCAGCTCGCGGACAGGAATCCGCCTCCCATCCAAGACGTCGGTGAGAAGATGGGCCGGCTTGGCGTGGACAACGCCTGGAAGGAGCGGAAGTGAGAGGAGCTCCGTTTCTTTTCTTTCGTATCTCGCGCAGGCTTGTGGAGAAGGAGGTCTTGGTGGTTTCCGACGCGCATATATGGTTGCAGGTACTCATGAGTCGAGTTATTGGTCGTCGCATTGCAGCAGTCTCTTTTGCCCTTCTGTACAGTATGTTATCGTTATGCTTGAACCTTAGACTTCGCTAGTGTCATTGCAATCATCCGATTTTGTTGAGCATGGATTGGCATGTCTGCGGGCAAACATTACTTAGCGAAGCGCACGATGATACCAGACACGTTCGCTAGCGATTTAGACATGCGAAGAATAAACACGAGGCTGAAAACACGAGGATGCAAGCAAGGGCAGCGCAAGTATAAGTCCCACATATTTGAGCAGCGAGGATAGCACGGCATGAACGTATAAGCGATGCTAATGCGCCAAAGCCAAAGGGAAGAGATGGGCCGGGCGAGCTTGGTCAACGTGTCTAGAGGTCCCAGCTTACATTGAGAATCTGGATCATGCCCCATCTGGCAGGCTGGAACGAGATAGGCGCTGAAGCGAACAGACCCATGATCATCGAAGAGACCGAGAGATCCGTCGTCGAGCTTTGTGAAGCCAGAGCGTGACGATGAGGGCTTTAGTGGAAAAGCGGCGCGCCGCAGAGTCGCGAATATGTATATGAAGAGACATTGTGTATCAACAAAAAACTTCCACCAAAGCTCTATCTGTCACCTGAGATGACCCTGCAGATCGTATGTATCCAAATGTGTTTCCTGGCACAATTTGTAATGCGTGCATCGGAACTAGGTCGCAGAGCTTCAGATGCTAATTCCCGGTGACAATAAAGAAAGGGCACTTACATTGCGATAGGGCAATATCATCCCAAAGTTCGAGATCATCGTGTTTTATTTCTAGGCAGTTGAAGGAACGTCGAGTTACGAGGTATAACGTTGCATAGGGAGCACGTACCTTCTCGTCCGTTCCCCAACACAGGGATATTCCAGTCTGAACAGATGCGCTGGAGGCGTCCAGGCGTTTGTCCCACGATCCGTGCTGCCAACCGAGCCCCTTCTCGCCTCGTCGTCTGAATGTAAGCATCGCGAGCGATATACGATTCCATCAGCTCTGCGGTGCGGAAAAAGTATGTAACTTGGCGCGATGCGTCGTGGATGAACGGCCATCCCCAGTGCACATCCAGGACTTCCACCCTGTCTGTAATCCTCACTATGTCCAAGAGGTTTTCGTCGGGTTCAAAGTAACCAATGCTCAAGCGTCGGAGCATGATGAAGACCTTGAAGTCCAGGTTCTTCGCCATCCGAATCTCGTCCCAGCCTACGAGAACCAATTCCCTCAACGTTTGCGTATACGACTGAACTATCACTCCGTAAAAGCGGGAGGGGCTGGAGGACAAGTTCAAGCTTATGTTGTTGCGAAACTCGATGACCTGGAGGCCACCTTGGTGTTTAGGGGGTAGCGCTATCATCAAAAGATCGGGCCGGAAGATCGCCGCATAGTTGACTCGGAGAACTCTCAGCGCGGGTAGCACAGGGAGGTTGAAATTGACGCAGGTGTCGTGGAGGGTGAGCTCTTCCAGGCTCCCTCCGCACAAGTCAATGACGGTGGTTGCGGAGGCAGATGTGATACCGCAGGCGGATGAACTGAATGCCGGGCGGTAATTGTCACCCCAGCCCGAGAGTGTGAGACGGCGAGGGCGGATGAGGATATGCTGCAACTTCGGCTTTGGCGCCGGTAGCCGGGAAGAGGTGCGCAGAGAAGGGATGCATAGCGCCTCTACGTTCTTGCATGCTGCGAGGATGGCGTGTAAAGCAGCAATCGTGCTTTGTTCTGTCCGTTTCTGCTGGTAGCGCTTGCCTCTGATGAGTTGAAGGGCTCGCCTCCGACGGACGCTACCCCCATCGTCGATGCCTTTGCACAGGATAACAAGTGTGCGGACGCGATTGGCCAGGTGCGGCTGGTCCATCAGGGTTCGGCAGAACAGCCTGAGGGCGCGAAGTGAGGGTAGGTGTGGTTCGGTGTACAACAGGGGAAGACCAGCGGAGTACCAGTCTTTACAAACGAGGATGAAGGAGAGATATTGAGCCTGGCATGATGCGGGCGGGCACATGTCGTTCCATCGTGTCAAGTAATAGACCTGTCGAAGGATGTGCACTACTAGTTCTTGCGGTAGAGGACTACGTGACTCTGATATGTGGTCGGGAGCTACACGAGTTTTCGGCGTTGCATCACGATGATGTCGTAGAAGATCGGATATTCGAGGTCGACGCAGAGTGAGGATGTTGTCATGTATGAAGCGCATCATGTACTCATGAAGATGCAGGCAGGGTATCTTGCTGGTGCCAAGGTACGAATTCAATGATGCGTGCTGCGCGCGCACCACGATAACTCGTGATCGCCGCGTGCAACGCCCAACGCAGCACTGCTGTCCCTGCGGTGAGCACTCCTGCTCTAAGATCTCGGGCCAATCGATGCTGGGGGCTGTGAGATTGGAAGACTGCCATCTGTAGTTTACAAGGTGATATCCAGGGACGTACCCTGCGACTCGATCTCCAAGACAGGGTTATCCCAATCGGAGTCAAGGCGCCGGAGGCATGAAGGGGCTGGGCCCAGTGGCGGCAACTGTGCTCTGTTCTCCTTTGTAGTCTGAATGTATGCGTTGCGAGCGACGTACGTCTTCATAATCTCTGAAGTGCGGAAGAAGTACGCGACCTGGCGTGCCGCCTCGCTCAGGAGCGGTTTTCCGCAGTGAACATCGATCCAGCGCGGCACCCTAAGATCTCATATGGGTTCTTCGCGGGTTTAAAGTAGCCGACGCCTATTCGACGGAGCATATGAAAAAGCTGAAATTCGAGAACTCTGGCCACGTGCATCTCGTTCCAGCCCACGAGGCAGAGTTTTAGTATACTATGGATGCACCATAAATGCAATAGTGTACCATCAATGCAATCGGTCTGAAATCTCGTCACTGCGGGGCTCCCTCTCATCCTAATCCCTACATATTAAATTGAGTGCATATACAGTACTATCTAATGATATGTGCCAAAGGAACAGAGCGAAGCATTAGGGGATGGGCCTCCAGAAAATGCGCAACGTCGTTTGGGGAACCATCCAAGCATGCTCTAGCATGAAGACACGGCTCGGCTCAAGCGATCTGAACTGATAAAAATCTGAATATATTCAAGTATACTCTATACTATACAGAATGTACGTCTGTCAATTCCGATACGTGATATCTGCAACTTTGTGCTTGCTATGCAAGGATTACTGGCGGAGGTGCCATGAATGCAATTGAAGCTCCGCTTCAAATGCTGACAAAGCAGGGCCAGATTGCAGGATCTCCCCGCCAGAAGGTCGCGGCCTCGGCTTCTCGGCCTTGGGGGACCCGTTGTGCAATCTGCAGAGTCATCGACACGTCCTACCGGCATCGCTCTGCAAGGCATCCCGCGTAGCAAAATATTTGAGGCTTGACGTACAGCTGCTACATGGTTTTGGCTACCATATGATCCAGCTTCTGGGTGGATTGGCAATGAAATGACGATTTTGAACCATCAATGCAATCGAAATTGCATTGATGGTACATCCATAGTACAGCTGAACCATCGACGGGCACGCTATACGGGTCCTGAAGTCGGTATCGAACCAGAACAACCTATCCAACCTCTACCCAGGGAATCTTCATTTCGCTTGGAAAGGTTACGCGTAGCGTATGCATCGGACCTAGGTACGCATGACGAGATCAGTCGTCGATGCCCTTTGATAACATCCAAGGTCGACAGATACCTTGGGGTAAAGTAGCGTCCTTCCGGAGCCCGATATCACTACCCTTGAATTCTGGGCAACTTTGAGCGAATCGGATTCCCGAAACGTCACGTCAAGAGACCGCGTACCTTCGGGCTCGTCCTCCAGTACAGGAATGTTCCAGTCCGAGCAGAGGCGCCGGAGCCGCGGAGGTGCTTGTCCCACCACTTGTACTGACAACTGCGCCCCGTCCTGCCTCGACGTCTGAATGTATGCGTCGCGGACAATGTACATCTCCATCAGTTCGAGAGTGCGAAAGAAGTATGCGACGCGGCGCGACGCGCTTTCGACCATCTCTTCCCAGTGCACGTCAAGGACTCTCACCCGGTGTGGTACTTTCACAATTTCGAAGGGGTCTTCGTCGCGCGCAAGGTATCCTATGCTGAGACGGTGGAGAACCTTGAAGGCCTCAAAGTCGAGAGTTCGTGCCAGCTTCATCTCATCCAAGCCTACGAGAACCAGCTCCTTCAACGTTCGCGTGTTCGGCTGGATTATCGCTCCACAGATTTCCAAGGGAGATGAGAAAGATAGGGAACCCCAATGGTTGCGAAACTCTATCACTTCGAGGCCACCTTGAGACTTGGAGGACAATGCCTCCTTCAGGAGATCGAGTCCGACGATCATCGTGTGGGTGAGGCGGAGAATCCGAAGCGCGGGAAAAGCCGGAAGTGAAAAATTGACGAGAGCATGGTCCAGGTTCAGTTCCTCCAAGCTCTGTCTATTAAGGTCAAGAACAGTAGTCGTGGAGATGGACGTCAAACCGTGATCAGACGGCATGAATGTGGAATTGCCATCCCACCGCCAACGATAAACCGTAAGCCGACGAAGGCGGACGAGATTGCGGGGCAACCCCTCTGCTGGCCTGGGGGTCGGGGAGGTGTTGCGCAGATAAGGTATGCAGAGCGTCTCGACGTTCTTGCAAGCCTGCAGGATGGCGTGCAGCGCATGGATAGTGCTTTGTTCTGTCCGCATCCGGTAGAAGCGTTCGCCGCCGACGAGCTTCAGGGCTTGCATCCGACGGACGCTGTTCCTGTCAAGTACGTTGTCGTCCATGGAAATAACAAGGGTGCGAACACGATCGGCCAGCTGCGGCTGGCGCATCATCGTCCGCGAGAACAACGTGAGCGCGCGAGGCGAAGAAAGGTGTGGTTCGGTGTACAGTAGCGGACGACCGGCGAGATACCACTCTCTACAGACGAGGAGGAGGGAGAGGTATTGGACTTGGCATAACGCGGGCGAGCACATGTCGTGCCAACGCGTCAGGTAGTAGACGTGATGGAGGATATCGACGATTAATTCTTGGGGAAGAGCACGTAGCTCGAGTTTGTCGCGGACGTTCAGCGTGGCATCGCAACCTTGTACTGAATGAAGCTCGGGTGCTCGAGCTGGACGCAGGACCGTAAGCAGACGATGGCGTATGATGCGTTTCATGTGCTGGACTCCAAGACGACGGGGTGAGCGTGCGATGTCTGCGTTGGTGCCAACGATGAGGTTCGTCGATAAGTATATATAAGGTTCTCATGAGTTGAGTGACGCTGACTGTTGGACCGGGATCACCGGAAGTACGCCTGTGGTAGCTGCCATGCCCCATGCACAGCCAGAGTTTCACATCACGAACTGGCAGTGATGCGGGGGCTTTGTATTTGACCGAGAGGAAGGTGTCGGACGTCCATCGTAGAAGAGGTTGAGAGCATCAAGTCCGAGAGTATAATCGGCTTTGACATGTAGCGGGTGGACACAACTCATCCCGGCGCATCCGAGCGTAGTGCGAGATGGACGGTGTTCTGCGGCGGTAGTATACCAGGGCGTTACAGGAGGATAAGCACCTTATGATGCAGACAACGTTCCATGCCGGTCTCTGGAGTGATTTCAGTGTAAGTGTGGAAGTCGAGGGTAAATTCGTGTGACTTGATTCCGATGGATGAGCCTGGCATGGCATCCACGTGGAGAACCTCTGCCTCGTTGCAAACGCACCTCACCAGGATCTCGCCCTCAATGGCCGGCTCCTTGCTCGAAGCAATCTATGCATGCCTCGTTCTCGACACGCGGAAAGATCTCCCTGATATCTCGTGTCCCTCCGCCTTCCTCGAGAGCGATCTCCTAAGACCTCCCTGACCTCGCTGCTCTACCCGTGCACTATCTGTATCGCTATCAACTGGAACCGCTCATATCTGTATCTTTTGGCACGATCAATTTCAGTTATACATGCACACGCCGTGTACCACAAACGCTTAGAATATGAAGACCGTCTCGGAGACGCGCAAGCCTTACCGGGGTACGAAACGGTCCCTCGTCATCGCCCTCGACGTGGGCACGACCTTCAGCGGTGTATCCTACGCTATACTGGATCCTGGACAGGTTCCGAAGATCCATGGCGTAACGAGGTGTGTCCCGGTCCCTAAGTTTCGTATCGGATACTTCGCTGACCGCCCAGCCCGTAGATTCCCCGGGCAGGAGCATGTCGCCGGCAACTCCAAGATCCCTACCATAATGTACTACGACAAGAAGGGTCGCATGAAGGCCGCAGGAGCGGAGGCTGATACTGCTTCGGTTATTGACAAGGCCGAGGACGAAAAATGGACCAAAGCCGAGCTGTGAGTCGCTTCATGCACCTCACTCTTGGCGCTCACCAAAAAGACCGACAATCTCCTACCCCTGATCCCCAGGTTCAAGTTACGCCTGCGCCCGAAGACGATGAAGCTCGAGATGAACGGCATGCGCTTCTCGCCCTTGCCGAGGCACAAGACCGCCGTCGACGTCTTTGGCGACTTCCTCGGCTACCTCTTCCGCTGCACGCGTCGCTTCATCGAGGACACGCACGCGAACGGCGTCGAGATGTGGAAGTCTGTCGAGCGCGACATTCAGTTCGTGCTCAGTCACCCGAACGGATGGGAGGGCGCACAGCAGTCGAAGATGCGGAGGGCCGCGGTCTACGGGGGCTTGATACCCGATACGGACGAGGGCAAGGCTCGAATACGCTTCGTTACGGAGGGCGAAGCTAGTTTACACGCTTGCGTCCTGAATGGCCTCGCGGCAGACGTGTTATCGGTATGTGACATATACCATTTGACTGAGCCTTCACCTAATGCGGCGGTAGAAATCCTCTGGTCAAGGATTTATTGTGGCTGACGCTGGTGGAGGTACTTTGGACATAAGCTCTTATGCCATCCGTGGGACGGAGCCTCTCGTGATAGAGGAAATAGCACCTCCTGACTGTACGATTCCCTCTGTCTTGTCGCCACGGTTGCTAATCAGAGATGTCAGGTGTATTTGCCGGTTCCGTGTTCGTCAGCAGAAGGGCGCGAGAGTTCCTCGAACGTAAGCACTTTCCGTCCACGAGCATACACCCATGCCTTATTCCTCACGATTCCCTCAGAGAAACTCCATGGCTCCCACTACGGCAGGCCCGATTCGCTCGACCACATCGCCAAGAAGTTCGACGAGTCCACGAAACGCCTCTTCCGCGACCCGCGAGAATCGCAGTACATCCCGTTCGGGACACCCTACGACAAGGATCCCAGCGTCGGCATCCGCTCCGGACAGCTCAAGCTCAGCGGACCCGAAGTAGCGGACCTCTTCGAACCGTCGATAGAAGCTGCCATGACGGCTATACGAACCCAGGTCGAGGCGAGCAAGGGTGCCGTAAAGGTGAACCACTCCTTCGCCTTCGATGCAGGGCCATGTCTGATGCTCCTTTAGTCTGTCTGGCTCGTAGGCGGTTTTGCGGCTAGTCCGTGGTTGTTCAGTCAACTGCAAGAGCGGCTTGCTCCGATGGGCATCAAGGTTAGCAGACCCGATACTCAAACGTATGTCCACACGTCCTTTCTACACCCCGAAGTGCGTTGAACCCACACCGCATGTTTGTAGTTCGAAAGCTGTTGCGGACGGCGCGGTAGGCTTCTACTGCGATCATCACGTTTCGGCGCGGATGTCCAAGTTTATGTACGGCGTCGAGTACCTTCGCGAGTTCGATCCGGGTGACCCGGAGCACGTGAAGCGACAGGATAGGCTCTGCGAGCTGCCGTCGGGGCCAAAACTGCTCTTGGACGCGTTCGACTGTATCCTAGCCCGAGTCAGTCCCGTCACCTTGTTTCTACACAGTCCAACGCTCATGTCGTACTACAGAGCGTCAAGGTCAAGGAATCGACGGTGTTCAGCAGGAAGTACTGCACAGAGTTGACCAGCTTATCGTCCTTGTCGGTTTTTGAGGTTGAAATTTGGTGTTATCGGGGAGGCGATACCGTACCGAAGTGGATCAATAGGGGCTCTGGTCAGTCGACAACTTGCCCAGCTGTTCCGACGATTGCTGATACTTCTATGCAGAGGACTTCTCCACGCTATGCATGGTCCGCGCCGATTTGTCGCCGCTGACGGCTAGTGCGCAACCCAAGCAAGGACCCGGCGGCAAGAAGTTCTGGACTATTGTGTTCAGTATCGAGATTCACTTCGGTCTGACGGAGTTCAAGGCTCGCATCAAGTGGAACGACAATGTATGATGAACTTCTCCTCATACTACATGGTACTGACGTTTGCGTTGTGTGTTCAGGGCGAAACCCGATAGTCAGTATCAGATAGCCCTTCCTCTTGCATACACGCTCATATATTGACTGAAATGCGATGTAGCGGACCAGCGTCCATCGTCTACAACGAGAGCGGCCATCGAGCAGACGAGGACGAGCCAGATAATCTCGATGGGGACCCACTCAGTACGCCTGCCACTGGTACAAGATCTATCACACCCTCCCGCGTGCCATCGCCCGTGGACGTTCAGGTACCCTCGAAAGCTCCTTCTGTGGCGCCGTCAAAAGTGCCATCCATTGCGCCATCGAAAGCTCCATCCGTTGTTCCATCAAGAGCCCCATCTGTAGCCCACTCTCGGCACGAGGAACCCGCGGTGTCGACGAGTCCTCCCGCGCCTGCCAAAGCGCCTTCTCAGGCTTCGTCCGGTGACTTGTACATGTCGGCGCCTCCTACTCCCAAAGGCGGAAGTCCTCGCGAAAGTATGCGCGCGCCAAGCGAGCGAGCTAGTCCCCGACACTCCGTCGTCCAACCCACGGACCCGCCGCCCCAGACCCGAAGTCGCTCAGGATCCAACGCAACTGCAATCGGGCAGGGTGCAGCCCCATCCGGCAGTCGTCCGCCTTCTCAGGTGGTCAACGGCGACGCTATCCCCCCTAGCCTCAGCCGACACGGGTCGGTCCATGCCTCCGCTCCTGCCACTCCTCCAGCAGGGAGCCGCGTCGCGTCTCGCGTCGGGAGCATATACGGTGCCCCGCCGGCCGCGGTAAGTCGTGCTGCATCGCACCGCACCGAGACAGGCGAGCATGGCGGCTCGACACCCACCCGTGCGGCCTCCCCCGCACGCAGCGCCGCACCTTCTTCCCGAAGCCGCCCTTCATCCGTTGCGCTGCATCAAGAGGACGCTCCCCCCGCTGTCAGTTGGAGCGGTTCCATGGCGGCAGAGAAGGGCATGCCCGGGGATTTTCCCGTGATCAGCCGCACGCCGTCTAGGGCTAGTGCCGCGCCCGTCATACCTGCTGCTGGCACCGTGAGCTGGAGCGGTTCTATGGCGGCCGGAGACCGGAATAGCGCGGCGCCGATATCGCCCATCAGCCGCACCGGCTCGAACAGGAGCAACTCCGGCCTCGGCGACGTGCTGTCCTCCGTGTGGGGAGCGTCTAAGCGGGCGCCGACGCCCCGCTCTCAGTCGAATGACTGGGTGAAACTTAGCACGTCAGTTGCGGGGTCTGCACGCGGGACGCCTCTAGCCACGCCGAAGACGGAGGGCGCGCCTTGGGGTCAGTCGAGTGGCACGGACTTTATGGCGTCTACGCTACAGTCTGATCTGGATCGGCAGGCTGAGGAGGAGGCGCAAGCGCGGGAAGCGGCCGCGGAAGCTGAGCGCCAGGCTGAGGCAGCGCGGCTTGCGGCTGAGGAGGCCGAGCGCAAGGCCGCAGAGGAGCGCGCTGAGGGCGAACGCAAGGCGGCCGAGGAAAGGGCGGAGGCAGAGCGCAAGAAGGCTGAGGCGAAGGCAGAGGAGGAACGCAAAGCTGCGGCGGAGGAAGCAAAGCGGAAGGAGGAAGAAGACAAAAAGGCACTGGAAGAGGCAAGAAAGAAGACGGCTGAAGAGGAGGCGAAGAGAGCCGAGGACGCAAGAAAGGCAAAGATTGAGGCTGATAAGAGGGCTCGAGAATCGAAGAAGGCGGCGGTAGAGGCAAAGAAGAAGGCGGCACAGGAGGCCAAGATGGCTGAAGACGAGGCGAAGGCGAAGGAAGCAGAGGAGGCGAAGAAAGCGGCTGAAGAGGAGGCTAGGAAGGCCGCAGAGGAAGTCCGGATCGCTAAGGAGGAGGCCAAGAAGGCGGAGGAGGCCAAGCAAGCAGCAGAGGCGGAAGCTAAGCAGGCCGAGGAGGCCAAGAGAGCGGCAGAGGAGGAGGCCAGGAAGGCGGAGGAGGCAAAGAAGGCTGCCGAGGAGGAGGCGGCGAAGGCGGAGGCGGCGAAGGCGGCGAAGGCGGCGGAGGAGGCTAAGAAGGCGGCGGTGGAGGAGGCCAAGAAAGCGGAGGAGGATGCAAAGAGAACAGCGGAAGAGGAAGCCAAGAAGGCTGCCGAAGAGGAGGCACAGAAGGCTGCCGAAGAGGCAAAGAAGGCAGCAGAGACAGAGGCTAAGCGAAGAGCGGACGAAGAGGAAGAAAAAAGGGTTGAAGAAGAGGCCAAGAGGGCGGAACAAGAGGCCGATCGAAAGGCGGAGGAGGCCAAGAAAGCAGCGGAGGAGCAGGGCAGGAAGAAAACGCCGTCTACTGGGTGGGGCGCGTCCATCAAGTCGCTCTCTATGAAACCTCTGGACGACATCACCAGTCCCTTGGGCGGCGGAGGCGGAGGCGGCGGTCTCCTGGGATCATGGGGCAGCAGTTTCGGCTTTGGTAGCGGTGCGGCGAAACGCAGCAGTGGCGGGTTTTTGGATACCTTCGGCGGTCTGCTAAGCTCCGAGACCCGCGCTGTCGCCACCCCACAAGAGATATCCGCTTCTGAGGCCCAGCTCGTCGCCTCTTCGGATGAACCACCCGTGGAAGGCGGGGTGCAACTCGACGCCGGCAAATCAACCGAGACATCGGACCTGCTGAATGACATTCTCGGGACATCCACCGCGGATGCCACTCCTGCGAGTGAAGATTTTGGGGACGCTTGGTTCTCTCCTTCCACCAACAAGACGAAGAAGGGCAAGAAGGGCAAGAAGGGCAATGGGGGGGAGGACGCTGAGACCCAGCAAGACATCCAAGCTGAAAGCGCGAATTCCGCGAACCTTCTCGCCGACTTGCTGTCATCTCCAACATCTCCGACGGCTGAAGGTACGGGCGCTGTAATCACCGGCGCGAACGAAGGCGAAGCTGCTGGAGGTGCGGAATCTATGGACTTGCTGGCTGATCTGCTTTCGGGTGAAGGGGTAGAGGGGGGAGATGAACCTGCCGCCGAGACTGCGGATGACTGGAGTGCGGGGCCCGTAGGCAAAGGCAAGAAGGGGAAGAAGGGGAAGGGTGCGGCGGCTGCAACCGGTCCCATCGCGCCTGTCGAGAGCACTGCGACTCAGAACAGTGATACCACTGGGGGCGGAAAGGCGAAGAAGAAGAAGAGAAAGTAAGGACATGATTATGCTTTGGTCTCTCGGTGTTTACCGGCATGATCATTCTCGTTCACGCATTCTCTGTACTCTACAAACATGCGCAAGCACCGCTATACGCTTGCCATATTATTCCGCCACAGATCTGAGATTACACCCAGCGTGCCTCACGTGTGCGCTGAAAAAATGCCTCCTTGAGCAATCTCTCGACATCTAATCATATCTCTTCCTTTACCACTTGAACATCCATCGAGTCGACCGGCTACACGGTGCTGACATGGCTACGGCTGAGTTGCAACCATCCAAACTCGGAAGGAAAGACCAGTGAGAGGTTTCACCCGACAACGCACCGATCGCATCAGTCCCAACCCCATCGCAGTTGGGACAACATATACAGCAAGGAGCTACAGAATTTCGAGGAGATCGGGGACGAGGGTGAAGTATGGTGAGCGGAAAGATTGACGATTGCGTGGTGTATCGCCGTAACGTTGTCTGATTACAGGTTCGGTGAGGACAGTGTGGAGAAGATGGTCTCTTGGGCCTTGGACAATGTTCCACCCTCATCCAGGAAGTCGCTGCTCGAGGTTGGCAGTGGCAATGGCACGCTGCTCTTTGCGATGTGCGAGGCTGGGTACTCTCCGGAGTACATGCTCGGTATAGACTACAGCGCCGATGCTGTCAAGCTCGCTCGAGCAATTGCGCCGACTCGCGGAGCGGAGAACCTCGCCTTCGAGGAATGCGATTTTCTACACGGCGACGTGCCGTCTTTGGGCGGCGAAGCAGAAGGCTGGGACCTCATCATGGATAAGGGAACGTACGATGCCATCGCTCTGGGGGAGAAAGACGAGCACGGGCGATCACCCGCCGCTGGCTATCCCCGACGGCTCGCGAATCTGCTTAGGCCGGATGGATTCTTCCTCATCACATGTGAGGTATCATTCTTCCTGTATCTCCTGCGAGTTGCTGAAATAGCGCGCAGCCTGCAACTTTACCGAAGACGAGCTAAGAAGCAGCTTCGAGACGGCGGCAACGGGCCTGAAATATCAGTGAGTCTTGTTGGGGTTATCCATGAATCACGGTCCCCTGAAAACTTTGGTAGCTCTCGCGTGCAACATCGTTCGTTCACTTTCGGAGGTCAAAGTGGACAAACAATCTCCACTGTAGCATTCTACAAACCAGCATGACCACAATATAGATTAGAACAAACACGACTATAGATGTATTCATAGTATAGGCACGATCTCGAGACCGGTCTGTAAAGTATCCTTCGCGACGCCGACCGCCCACTTGAAAAAACCAGCGTCTCCATCTACTTTGTCGCAGACAGCGTTCGTAAGGAAATAGACAAGTCCCATGGCGAGTGCTTGTATCTTCGTAGCCTTGATGAATACTTCTTCGATGGCACCACGATTGCGCGTTGTCGGTATTCCGTCTAGAGCGTATCGGGGGTTCGAGGATTGCGTATCGATTAGCACGGAACTGAGGAGTTCCGTCAGGAAACCGCGCGTCCGTTCCTTCAGGATGGTGAAGTCCACCGGCTGTAAACACGTGAAAAAAAACAATCAAGCTTGCGAACGCAGCCAATCGACAGTAGAAATACCTTGAGAATAGCAAGCGTGACGCTGTCTTTGGCTATCCACCACCCGTACGCTTTCGCAACATTTTGTATCCTCGTGTCGGATATCTTCTTGAGGTCAAAGCCTTCACTGTCCTGCGCGTACTTCACCACCGCGGCTCCACCCACGCCGACCTCGCCCATATCGCGAATGAAGTCCCATAAGCAGAACTGCAGCGTAATTTTGTACGAATGCGACCGTTGACATAGCTGCTGGCAAACGAGTGCATAGTAGGGATTATACGATTTCTCCTAGATAGACGTAATCAGAGACTTATAAAGCACAAGACCGCGGGGATGTCGTACATTGCCGCAGCAGTGCAGGAGAACACGCACAACCTCTCGCTGCTGAACCTCGGTGAGGTTCAACTGCGCCAAGCGATTGCACGCGTCAACATAGTCCTGCAGTCAAGATGAGTTTCTATCACTCTACTGACGAGAGCGCACGGAGAACCGACCTCGCTACTCATGAGGACCACAAAAATGTTACGCCGTATGTCGGTATTCATACCCTGCTTTCTCGCGAGTTTCAGTAGAGGGTCCTCCGCAGTGACCACGACCCGCCCTATGGCTGTCTGACTCTCAAGTTGATCCCGGCGCTCGAGCAAGGGATCTCCGGTCCAGGCCGCCCCAACGAGCCACCACTTTCCCTTACTTGACGCGGATTGTAGATCTGCAAGCGAAACACGTAAAGGCTCGTGCGGACGTACTGGAAAAGCTGATCAGCGACCTGGTGATACAGCAAGTTGCATAGATGTTCACATTGCCTAGTCTTGCTTAATCCTGACAAAAACCTCTTCATTCGGTCTACTGCGTCTCCAGCAGGATTGGCGCCCTTCTTTACCCGATTATTCTTCAGGTTGATCAATGTCTCTAACATGAAGCGCATGCGAGAACTGTCGCGGTATGAGATGTACGCTGATGAGCAGCATTTGCGATAAAGCACTCACGTCATGTTCTCGGGCTGACCTACGACTTTCTTCTGCACTATTTCAATGATATCCTTCAAAGCCAGCGGATCGTCCTGACGCAATTGCAGGCCGGAGTCTAGTGTGCGTAACAATCAGCCAGGGATTTCGACGCGTTCGGAATAGCTTACTGCGCGCAAGTTTCAGGAGCAATTCGACGTTGAGCTCTGAGAGATCCCCGTCCAAAAGCTGCCGGATCACATCGTACACCAGAACGCAGGACACCACCTGGAAATTGTACAGTTCCGAGAGGAGAGTGATCAGATTCGAGCATTCTTTCGAGACGGTTTCATTGGACGCCTGATCGATGCCGGACGTGTTCTCAAATGAACGATATCGAATCTCATAAGAAGACATTAGATGCTGCACGAATAAAGCAGCTGCAGAATATGAGATCCTGGTTCGGCAAGTGGGAGGGACGAAAGCCGCCCACCGAAATCGATCCCAACGAGGCGATATAAGCTAGCGACGAGAGTAGCATGCAAGACGATGAATGAATCCAACAGCAATGCGTGCGACGATACACCATCGAGGATGAGCATCGTCAATGTTGACGATATGTCTAAGCAAACGCCACACTCAGTCACTTATACATCGAGAAATGAGTGAGCACTTGCCATGTCGTCGATTTTTCCGGTACAGGCTGTCTATATCGTCGACTATAACACTGATGTTCTGCTCGCTCAACCTGTGAGCATACGTGTTGTTCCATCAGATCAAGTTTGCCCAACACGGACGCCCAAAGACTCACCGATTGAGCAAACCCTTTAACTGACGCTTTAACTTGATTATTTCCTCTGCCTCTCGCCCTTCATCTACGATTTGCTGGGCGCGAAGCGCCGGAGGGACATATCTAGTTGCTATTGAAGATTGTACGTGAGCTGATGATTTATATAGAGAAGACCGTGCATACTCGTAGAAGGTGCTGGTGCTTCGTTCGCATCCAGTGTCTCGTCCTCCTCCGTGCTGTGGACTTCGATACCATGCCATTCTTCTTCTTCTCCTTCTTCGGCTCCCTGGGGTTCTTCATCGCCCGATTCAACCTCACCGTCACCTGTGTCGTCATTCGGATTCTCCTCCTCCTCGTCAGAATCAGCTTCATCTTCCTCACTCGACACACCCTACGTCCGAGAGTGAGTTGCAATAGCACAGTATACACACGGGTCTAGCGTTGCTGACCAGAGTCGACGTCGTTGTTTCTAAGGTTTCCAATCCATCCAGAAGGTCTGAGAGGCCCGGATAGTCAACGCCGTGAAACGAGACGTTCACCTCGACACAGAAAGCCGACTCACCGTCTAGTCCATCGTTTTCAAGTCCTTCGCCGTAGCTGGACGACTTCTTTCCGCCCTTCACCCAACCGAGCTTTGATTCGAGGTATGCAATATACGCGTCTTCCTCTCGCTCTTTCTGTGTCCGTGGCTTAGTCGATGTTCGCGACGGCCTCGCGGCCAGACGTTCGAGAGCAGTAGGGGTCTTGATGGGTCGGACGCTTTTCGTCGACGACGAGGTTTTCGTGGATTTGGTAGGGCGGTGTGCAGTAGGAGCCGGCTCGGGGGATTTCGATAGTCGGGGAACCTTTTTGCGAGGAGACTCTGCGTGTTCTTCCGCAACCTTTCGCTTCTTTTGGATCGTTGGGGAAGTAGGTGCGTTGAGGGACGAAGGGGCTTGCTCGATGTGGTGATGGGGACGACTGAAATGCGAGGCCTTCTTCCTCTTGGATTCCTGTCGTTCTTGTTTTCTTGATTCTTTCCGACTAAGCTTCCGACCACCATGCCTCCGTTCTTGTCGATGAGAAAATCTCTTGTCGTCTGGTAATTAGTGTAAGTTTTCTAGCTAGCAAGCTTGAAGTACTTCAGCGTTGCCGATCTCCTCTAGGAGCGTATCCGGGAGTTTAGGGCCAACATGGTGTCGAGGGGGCATATACAATGACGATTGCAAGCTCGAGAGCGTGGACACGGTGCTTGTCCGAGGGAAGCTCGGTGAAAAAGTATGAGTGAAGGCTGAAGGATGCCAAGTTGTGTGGCTCGCCGGCGCGTCAAGGTCGCGTCGATCTTGGGCTCTCACCACCATCCACACCAGACGAGATCCTCCATCTTTCGGTGATCCATCCACCATCGGGTGCATCGGTGCTTGTGAACGCGACGGAAAGGCTTGGCCCACTGCATTGCGTCCCGCGGGTGCGGAGGCGGTGGACGTCATGGCTCCCAAAGCTCGGGACATCGAGCAGAATCTGTTTGATGATATCTTACCACCAATTCGTGTTCTCCCGTTGACACACTCCGAACTTAACAACAAAGTTCTCGACGGCTTCCTTTCACCTCCTCCTAAATCGATCGGTCTATCGTGGGGTACGAATCCCGAGTCAGCCTCCTTGCAGGTTTTGGCGATGGCCACCTCGACGCGTGTCTTACTCGTCGCGCTGGGTGGCAAGGCTAAAGCGAAAGGCGGAGAAGAGCATTTAGGCAGTCCAGGAACCATTCTGATTCGAGATCGTGTCCTTTGTCGTGGCGACGACCACCGCCTCTTCGCGTTTGACTTTGGTCCACTCGCGTGCATGCTCTTCGATCAATACAATCTCCGGGTGCAAAACGGGATCGACATACAAGATTGCTGCAAAGCCAAAGATCGCAGCCCCCTGAAGTGCTTGAAATTTGCAGCGGGGGATGTGCCGGTCTATGTCGACAATGTCACGTCAGCCTTCAATAGCACGGTTTTTGATGTCAACGATCCCCTTACCTTTACCGCGACTGTCCTACGTGCATGGGCTGCGCAACATGTAGGCAACCTTGATGCCATACAGGACCAAGTCTATGAAGTGGCACCCATTGATACGAGCAAATTGTCCAATGAGGCAAGCCATTATGCACGCATAATTAGGTGTATACATGCTCATGTCATGCTCAGCATATGCAATACATTGCCAAGCTTGCTCGGGATTCACTCGAGATGGACAGCAGAAAGCCGGAAACTACCACACAACGTCTTCAAGCATCAGCATCAGTCAATGCAGATGAAACTGCCATTGAGTTGACACGATTCCAAAGTCGCCTCCGACAGGGCCAGGTGAATACACAGTGCTTGCTAGACTCCTTTTCTCAACAGTTACCAGCGAGTTCGAGTAACCGTAGACTCTGGGGCCCATAGTTATACAACTTATGGCCCCATTTCTAAATCACAGGGCAGATTTGCCACTATGCAGACCCAAGGGGTCTTGCAGGGAACTGTCACAACAACAGTCCTTGGAAGAGACGGCCCAACCAATGCAGAAGCTACACGGGCGGCTACCCTTCTCCGTGCATTGCAAGGGGATGCTGGCATGTTCTCCAACCCATGGTGGCAGGCAATATGGACTACTAATCTACCAGGCTGGCCAACCACAGTATGTACCTTCTGGTGCAGTATTTCATGATATTCATTTTATATAGGCAGCAACTCCAGCCCCCCCAGTGGTCATGCCTTCTTACCCAATGAACCAGTCTCAGCTAATTGCAGTGAACAAAATGCTTGATGTGAATAATGATTCCCGCATCACCATCATTCAAGGTCCTCCAGGGACAGGCAAGTAGCCAGTCATAATCTTTCAGCATTTCTTACATCTTCTTAGGAAAAACTACTGTGATTGCAACCTATGTCATCTCTGCTATTGCTGGAGGTGCACAAGGAATCTGTGAGGATCATACATACCTTGGCCGATTGTGTGGTTCACATATCACTTTAGGGTTAACTGCACAATCCAATGTAGCAGTCAGAAATATTGCAGAGAAACTCAGTGATATGGGCTTCTCATCATGGAGGCTTCTTGTCTCTAAGGACTTCCACCTTGGATGGTAAGTAGGTATTTATTTATGGCTAGTGTTTATCACAACTAAAATAACCGAAGGCATGAACACCTCTATACAGAGATTGCACCTAGGATTATCCGTTCAGATGACTTCAAGCCTGCTACTGCTCGTGAATTGCTCAAAGGATGTCAAGTCATACTCTGTACACTCAGTATGCTTTCCAACAAGCGATTGCGTGATTGTAAATATACTCAAATTGTTCCCTTCAATATTCTTGTGAGTACGACTACCTAGACCCACTGCTGTAGCATTGATATGTTTCTACCAGGTGGTGGATGAAGCATCACAAGTTGAGATTGGAGACTATGTTCCTATAATCACTACCTTTGCAACCTCACTCAGCAAAATCTGCTTCATCGGAGATGACAAACAGTGTTAGTTTGCATTTCTGCAGAAATATCATGATATTAATATCTATATAGTGCCTCCATTTGGGGAAGAGGACATTGGAGGATTGAAGAGTATTTTTGAGGTCTCTCATCTCCGTCAATCAATTCATCTCCTTGATATCCAATGTGAGTACTCTGCCGTACAAGCTATCACATGCTAATTCTTATGTATTTTAGACCGTATGCCTCCACAACTTGGGGACTTCATTTCTAGCTCCATATATGACCATAAACTGTTGTCAAACCCTAACCATCCTATCAAATCATCTGTGCCTTCCTGCTTCTTTATTGATGTAAAGAGTGGAAAGGAGCAACCTTCTCTGAAAAGCACTGTTGTATGTTGCATTTACCATGTTTGTCATTCCCATCTTTACTGATTGACTTTGGTAGAACAAACAGGAGCAGGAAGCAGTTTGCATTCTGGCTGCTAGATTTCTGGAGGAAGATAGGAGCTTCAAGATCATCACTCCTTATGATGCTCAGCGCTCTGCTCTGGAAGAGCTGCTGAAGCAGAAAAACCTTGCTTGGCAGGATAAATGCTTCAACATAGACTCCTTCCAAGGTGCAAATTTATACTGTGATTTGTGTGTACCTCAGCTTAGTCAGGAAATAGGGAATGAGGATGACTATATTATTATTTCCCTTGTCAGAACTGCAGCACTTGGATTCCTTGACAATCCTCGTCGTACGAATGTCATGTTCACTCGCTGCAAGCGGGGCATGTACATTTGCTGCAACTCAAACTTTGTGGGAGGCAAGGCCAAAGATACCCTTGTTGGACAGATGGCTGAGGCTTTTGGAGAGGAGGCCTGGATAGACTGGGATGATCTTGTGAATGGTGACTTCTGACCTACTCTTCAGTGATGCTCAGAATCTGCTGTGTTGTCCTTTCTCCAATTCATGCATGTTTTTTTCTGCTTTTCATGTATGCTGTCCTTCCATATTATGCTTGTATGCTGTCTGTGCCTGCTATGTCCTTGTATTCTAGTGGGGTAGATGTATAGTATGCTGTAAGATATGGTAGCAACAGAAAATATGGCCCTGTTGGCCATCTACTTGATATGGAATATCAAAATGTCTAGATGAGTATTGCAACAAGATCACATAGGTCACAATTTGGCTGGTGCCACTGGCCACACATCCTCAACCACCAGTCGCATACTCCGCAGTGCACCCCTGAGGCATTCAAGGAATGCCACAGTGGATGTGCTTGGACACGCTCGTTTCGACTCCACCCCGATCTTGAGCACATCCGGCCCGGCGAGATCTGTAGCCGTCCGATGCATGAGCCTACGACTTTTGATAATGGCAGCAACAATCGCGGACCACGCACAGTTGATGCCATATCCATCTGAGTATGGCGCACCGAAGCCGGTCCCGCGGAAGAGGTGGCCTGCACTGAGGCCACTCGTACTAAGGAGCCACGTTTTACTCTCGTCGTACACCGGGTCAGCAAAGAGCGCCGGGGGAGCGACGCCGGACGAGCGCGCAAGAAGCTCGAGGCCGAGCAAGTGCCGGTCTATGCCCTTGCCCGTCGCAGCCGCGCGAGTAAGGCGCATGTGCGTCTGCACGGCGCGCACTAGGAGGTCGAGGCGGGTACGAGACTGGATCCCAGGTTTTTGTTAGCTTGGGATGAATTTGAAGAAGCGGGGGTACGTACGGAGGAGGACGGGTCGGCCATGGCGAGCACAAACGCCCGGCTGTCGGTCGTGAAGGCACGGATGGTCTCCGTCCGGCCGCGGTCAAAGAGGCGGGTGAGCGCGGTCTCATACACAGCGGTGAACGTGCCTCGGTGAGCGTGGAACGCAAGCTGGAGGGCTTGTTGGATGTATGCGTCGGGCGATAGGCGTGCTGGAGGCCAATATGGCGGAGTTAGCATCGGATGTTAAACTCAAAATTCGGATCCCGCAAGATGAAGAACAATCGGGGGAGAGTTGGTGAATAGACGTACCGACGCTTTTAATCCAGTCCGCGCCGTATTCGGAGAAGTGTAAGACGCTGTCGTCTGAGTCGGCGATGATGGCTTCGGCCCTGGATTGTGCCTCGGCGCAGGCTTGTTCGATCGTCTCGTCCGTCTCCCAATCAAGGCGCGTCCAATCTTCTCCCTGAACATCCGCGTAATCCGAGTGGTCGAGGTCACCCAGCCATTCGTTTTCCAAGCTGCCGACCAGGTTGGGTGGAAGCGGGTCGACGAGTGCGTACTCGGCAACGATGCTGGGCGCCAGCGCGTCAACGGGTGAGTGCTCGCCCATCACGCCAGCACGGGTGTTGGACTCGACGATGAGAGTGAAGCCCTTGTCAAACCACCGGTTGAGCGCCCCGCGGCCGGAGCGCGTGTTGTGCAGGTGGGCGTCGAGTTCGGCGCGGGTGTTAAGCTGCAGTTCAGGGTTTGAGGACAAAGGAGGCGTAGGGTGAATGTGCGTATATGCGTCGAGAGAGATCGCGAAGAGCGCATCGTGGATAATTTCGAGGTTGGCGGCGTTCTGTGGGGAAAGATCACGCAGGTGTTGATAATTCTACATCGACAAATAGTCAGCCTTCGTTCGCCAAGATGAAAGCTAGAGCAGACCTTGGCCCACGTATCCCTGTTGTCCGAGCTCAGCACGCTCACAGGTACCGCGCGCTCTCCTCGCCTCCACCTCTGCCTCGCATCCCGCACGACCCGCCGTAGCCGGCGTTCAAGTTCACCAAAAGGAACGGGGGTGCCATCGGGTAGGGTGACCTCGACAGCATAGCAGAAGTTGCGGATTTGAACGAGACTTGCGCGCGCTGCAGACGATGATGCCGAGGGTGCCTGCGCGAAGGCGTCGCACTCGGGGCGAGGGACGCGATACGAGTGGAAAATGCGGAGCGCGGCGTCGCGCAGCCAGCGTGCCGTTCGTGTCGACGCGTCAGAGCTATCAACACGGCGTCAGACACAATCAGAGGAGAGGCGCAGGGGCCGAGCTGACCTGCACAAACGATTCTTGAACTCTACGAGCCGGTGCGCGAGCCACGCTGCGCGCCGCACCTGCGCCGGCGTCACGTCCTCCCGGCCATCGCGCAGTATAAGCTCGGGTATGTTCGGGTCGTTGTTGAGTGCGAGCCACCAGTTGGAGTGGATGAGCAACGGAGCGCGCACACGGTGATACGCGACCTTCGTCCAGTAGTTATCCTCCAGCCAGTTGTGCGGCGATTTTTTGTCTAGTTCTGTGGTCCGGGTATGACCAGGAGCGGAGGCAGAATCGAAAACATTAGCAACGTCGGCCAAAGATGTCGGAAGAGACGGACCCACGAGTAACGCCTGCAGCTTCGGGCCCTCGTTGGGCGCGGTAACAAACCGCTCTGCGAGCGCGACTCGGTGAGCGCGCGCGTCGGCGAACTTAGAGCCGCCGCGTGCTTCTTGCTCGAGCAGGAAGGGTTCCATCGACTTGAGATACTGGTCGATTGTCTGTTGTAGCGGCGGCACAGGTAGGCGGGGCAGCTGGCGCTCGACGGCTGTGGTCATCCTACGTGTTGCGGCGGCAGTGGGAGTGGAGGCGTGCTGGTGTACGTTGGACATAGTAAACCTAAATTGTTGGTGCTTTATACGCATTCCGCCGCCGTTGATCCAGCGTTGACCAGGGAAAAGGTGATCAAGCGAGAAAAAAGCGAAGACGCTCAGGACCGAACCGGAGAGAGGACGGGGTGGCGTCGCGGGACGGGCGGCGCGACAGGCTCTCCGCTGCACGTGCAGCGCCCTCCGGAGGTTTGGGCGCGTTTTCTCTGTTTCTTGCGTTGATGATTCCCAGTCCTAACTTACCGCCATCGACGGAACGTTGTCCAAGGGACGAGCTGGAATACTGAGAAGCTCAGGAGTTCTGTCGGAAACTGGATATTGTTACGGCACGATTGACCGATTACTTAGATCCCCACGAGTCCGAGTCATACAGTGTGTAAACTTGCACGTCCAATCGGGTCTTTGCGTAACATACAAGCCGCTATTCTTGCCTTTCTTATGTCGTCCCGTGGGTTCGCAACAAGGCTAGTCACTTGTAAGAGCAATATCGGCTTACTGGGGTTCATGCACCGCTTGCAATAGAAGTCTGATACTGTACCTCCATGACAGACACAAAGGCTCATTGGGCGCGGACAATCCTGACATCCGAGTTGTTGTCCGACGCATTGGATATGTGCTGATTATGATCGTCCGGAAAGTGCGGTTGCATCAATTGATCCAGCCATGCATGCACTTTCCACTACCGAAAGGTCGCAGCCGAGGGGATCCAGTTATTTGAGGACAGGGAAGGATGAAGAAGCATTTGGTGTCGATGATGGTGTCCACAGGACTCCTATAGAGTGTGAAGACTTGCATCAGTCGCTCCCGGAAACTCACGCCCGTTGTGGCTTTCGAGACGTTTGTCCCAGCGGGAGCAAGACGGAAGATCGGTGGACACCCCGCTCCGTCTGAGCTGTTCACGGCTGCTCATTACTCCCGCGATCGGAGGTGATCTGTGACATTCGTTACTTCTTCTAGTGCGTCCCGGCGTTTCCTCTTGGACTCTTGAGGATGGACTTGCTCCTTGGGGCTTGGTCTCACGTCGACAATCGTGGCCGGTCGTAGAGCGGGGCACTCGAAGACCCGATGGGAGTGGCTCCGGTGCTGTCACTCGCCCAACGGAGAAAATACCATCCTCAACATATAAAAGAGCCGTTGCTTAGAGGAGGAAAACACACCTCGAGATATCTCCAGGTTCAGATCGGTCCTCGCCTGTCCACCTAGCAGCACGCCGAGACAATCATGAAGCCGTTCATCTCTTTGACATTCTTCGCGCTCACGGCATTCTTTCAGCTCTCCGACGCAGGCGCAGTTCGGCGTCAGCCTCGTTTTAAGCTCACACTCCGTGCAGACGAATGCGAGTTCACGGGTGAGCTATACACTCCCTGCACTTGACCCTCGGTTGACTAGCGAATTTCAGAGTGCATTGTCTCTCTTGCGGAGCTCCCTCTACAGATCACCACTTGCATCGAAGCTCTCAACGATATCGATGAGGCAGCGGGTAAGCTCCGTTTGTCGGAACGGGAGGAGGAAACGCAATGCTGACCTATCCACGCCAATAGGTGATCCGAAGGATTCCGACCCTATCAAGACAGCCACGCAAGGCGCTGACTGCATCGCGGAGGCCTCGCTTGCCGGTATCGAACTAGTCAGTAACCCCGCTGCCGTGTCGAGTAATCTAGGACGGTCTAACCGTACTCTTCCGATCAGCCGAGTCATTGCGCCGGTTGTACTAAAGGTTTGGATGGTGAATGTCCACACTCAGAGATCCCATGCACGGGCGCGCCGTCGACATGATTTGGGGAGCTGAACGCGAACGGACCGGGACGCCAATGCGACCGTTACATCGTGTGGGGATTTCGGGGATTCAGTAGCAACGTTGGGCACGTAGTCGAGGTCCATTTCTTCCTACGAAATAAGCGTTTTCAAAACAATCTACTCCGATACTCCGTCGTGTATCATTGCTACAACGTCGAACGTCTCTCCTGACGGAAGTGGTATATGTATTTGATTCGGCAGCTCCTTCCATCCGAAGTGTTTGTACACTGGCAGGCCTGCAGGCGAGGCTTCGATATATGTGGGCAGGTTCTTCCGCTTTGCTTCATCGAGCACATGCCGGATGATGGGCGAGATAGCTCCACGACCTTGGTACTCCGGTTTCGTGGCAAGCATATTGAGAACTGACCACTGTCTAGTCAGCAACGCGAAGGAGGACAGGATACAAGCTCCTCACCGTAATGCGGTTGGTCTCCCATGTTCATTTTGTGATGGCGATCCAACGTGTTGCTGAACAGCTCGCGGAACGCGTCGTTCGCCCCTGCCCAATGCGGCTTCGACACCTCGTCGGCGCTGGGCGCTTTTGGAGCGTATCTCCCGTCGTGATATGACCACCTGCCGACCGCGACGACTTCACCCGTGTCGGTTCGCACCACCTTCCCCCAGGAAATGTTCGGGTCCTTGAACGCTTTGAGGTTTTCCGCCCTGCGGAACGCGTAGTAGCCCTCCGGATCGGAGGCCAGACCGGGAAACATAGCGCGAATCACCGGTCCATCGAATGCCACAGCGTTAACGACGGCGTAGGCGTCAAGTTCGTCGTCCGTTCCGAGAGAGAAGGCGTACGGTAGGCGAGGAGCTGCTGCGGGATCTGTCGACATTGCTGGGTGACCTCACAGCTGGAAGGTTCTGAAACGTCCGTCCTCTAAGCATGCGCACTCCGGCTAGAGATTTATACAGAGTCGTGCTGCCCTGATTACCGAATCGGATCCGCAGTCACTTCGAGTCAACAGCTGCAGTATGGATCAGCAGTACTGTGACTACATAGGTGTTGCGTCAGAAGCCGACTGGGCCGTATCCAATGCTCTCTGGTCCGTGTACAGTATATAAGCAACGGCCAAAACGGGGTTTCTTGACGACATATCGGCATCACTCCCAGATGAACGAAGGCGAAAGCGTTCTCAGATGTGAACTTTGGTGCTCTCGATTTTGCCAATCCACGTTCAGTGAACATATCACGTTATATATGGCGCGCCAACTCAAGCGCGTTTCGCGTTCGTTTGCATGTACTCTTTCATTTCCCTTGATGAAGCGCGAACCAAGGACCACAACGTCTTACGGCTAGCCGACTGAAAAAGCAGATTGGATTATGCCTGTATCACCCGCAGTGCTCCAATGGGTCAATGCGAATTACCCAAGGCCGAAGGTCGACCTCGTTAGTACGCCAGGCGGTCGCAACGGGGGGCGAGGCTCATGCATCCATCCGCTGACCGCCCTTTCACCTAGGAGTGGCTCGAAGCATGCTGCGCCTGGATTACTACTGACCTTGGGCTTCCTGCGACTCCAACGCCAGCCTCGCCCGCATTCTCGCGGCTCACAAAGAATATCGAGCTACAGCTGCTGCAATCCTCGCTCTCGGACTCGCTCCAACCCAACACGGGCATCCCTCCTTCCGTTCTCGATGGAAGCATTCAAAGGTCTGCCCTCGGTGGGCGCGCGGCGTGTCTCGTCGAGGTTGTTGCGCTCGACGAAGTGGGACATAGCGCGTTCAGTCTGATGAACGTGCGGCAGGCGCGGATCGACCGTGCGGATCTAGCGGGACTCGCGAGGGAGAGAGAAGGAGGAGAAGAAGGCGGGGAAGGCCAGGATGAGGAAGATGAAGGGCCCGTGCCTCGCTATCCACGGTCGATGCTCAAGTTGACGCTGAGCGATGGAACGCACGAGTTCAAGGCGATGGAGTACAAGCGCATCCCCGAGCTCAAGCTAGAAGATACGCCGCTTGGTTACAAGGTTGGCCGCAATCACACGTAGGCTCGCAGATGCTCACCAGCTCGGATTCTAGATCGCTTTATTACCCACGACTCAATTCAGACGGGGAGTTGCCTACCTTGAGCCCGGAACGATCGTCATCAAGGGCTATCAGACTGAAGACCGCGACGTGCATCGCGACCGCGTCTTCCTGCGTGGTCTGCGGCTGCGGCTGGGGTAAGTGTGTATAGCGTGCACATAACCCGAGTATATGCTGACACGCGCTGGTCATTTAGTCAGCCCATAGCAGACCTGGATGCCGATATCGGTCAGGAGGAACAACAGCAGCCACCACAAGATCCACCACCACCACCGCCACCACCTTCCGCAGCGCCCGCACCATGCCCCACCGCGTCTGTACCGCGTCCCACTGCACCTACAAGCTCCGCCGCGACGACACTTGTTGCCTCGCCGTACTTCTCAGGCAAACCTACGCCAACGGCGAGCAACGCTGGCCCATCGAAGCCCCCGCCTGTCGGGCCTCAGCGTCGGGTCGTACCTGTAGATGAACTACCACCACCTTTCCCGGACGACGAAGACGAGGAAACGTTCTGGGGAACCAGCCTCCTGGGTGATGGCGTGCCGTCCTCGTCGACCGTCGGCACATCCGATCCTCCTCCCGCCCGAAACGAGGAACCCGATCAAAACCGGACGGGTCCAGATGGATCGGGAGGCGCTGGTTCTGGGCGCCAGAATCGATCGCTGACGGAGAGCGATACGTTCTCGGGAGAGTTCGGCGACGACAGCTTCTCGATGATGGACGACAGTTTCCTCGCACAGGTACGTCGACGTCATCCATACCATTCTCTTTGATTTTGGTCACATACCGGGACTTGTGTTTTCCGACAGATCGACATTGTCGAACAACAAGCTCTCTCTGTAGACGCGCACACCCAGAGTACCACTGGGCGGCTCCGCGGCGGCGCACCGAGTTCGAGCATCCCCACAGCAAGCTCGGGCACCGCTTCGAGTCAGGCATTGCACTCGTCGCAAACACGGCCGAAGCCGCTCGCAGCGGTCATAGACGACAGCATCGAGCTGCTCGACGGGCCCCCACCTCCTACACAAGCGAGAAGGAAAGAGAAGAAGACGAAACCGCTTACGCAGATGGCGATGGACGACAGCAGCGTGATGGTGCTGGACGGCCCGCAGCCGCCAGGGATCCGGCGCCAGCTTGGGTGGAACCACGATCCGTCGATCGACTTCGAGGACTGTCCACGAGTGCCCGCGCACACTCTTCGCGATCCCAACGTCGGAGCAGGAGGCGATACGGACATCGAGGACGAGGAAGTGGTGTACGTGAAGGAAGAGAAGAAGCCCGTGGCGTCCCAGCGGCGGGTGAAGCGACGTGTGGCCCGGGAGGCGATCCCCTCGAGCGAGGGTGACTTCATCGATCTTTCAGAGGCTTGAATGACTCGGTGAATGCCCTTGTGCTGACTCTGTGTACGATACTGTCTGCGGAGCTTGAATGCTTGCAAAATCTTCTGCAATGGCCGCGCATCGAAATCTCGGAAGGGATTCAAGATCATCAACGCTCACAAGCCACGCGAAGCCCCATGCGATGTCCGAACCGCACATCACTTTGGTTCCATTACCGGTTGTTTAGCCTTTGCTGCGGCGGCGCCGCCAGGCTCGTCAACATACAACACACCGCTCATAGCAGCGCATGGCGTTATTTTCCATGACATTGTTGCTCTATGGATCCAGTGATGTCACAGGATCGTGGATGCCGCCGAGGGCTTGCGCATATTTTGCACTTCTGTGTTGGAGAGTCATCGAGCTCCATCTCATCAGTCAGGCAAGACCTTGCGCCTCCAAGATCTAGTAATGGTTGCATAGGACTATGCCGATGTTCTTAGTAGAAGGGTGCCGTGCTGGCGCGGTGACCTCGCTTGACGATGCTAGTGTAGACCGGAATATTGATGTACAACCTTCGGGGAAATATCTCGGCAGCCAGAACGCCATAAGCAACAGAGACACCAAGATGACGCAGTTGGAGTTCAATAGACGCGGTCGAGAGCGAAGCGGAGGTCGGCGATCTATCTGCGCGAACCAAAATTGCGATAGCCAGTCTAGCGGTTTGTGTCGGTATTGGGTTCATGCGAGTATCAGAAACAGCGCTCCTAAGCCTGACATCAGAATAGCTCATGCATCCGCAGAGAAGATACCTACTAAGTATGTGATAGGTGTTACCCCTAATCTGCCGGCGTCTTGTCCTTAACAGTGCTCGCAGAAGCAGCGGCATTCGCTTCCGCATCGCCTCCCTTGTACTCCCATTCCTTCACGCCCACTCCTCCGCCCAACTTCCTCCAACGCTCCCTCCACCGTGCCCTGCGCTCCTCGCACATGCTCACCAGCGCTGGCCAATACTTGGCGTGCTCCCACTCGAACTCGCGCTCGCCGCCCCAGTGGGCCTTCATGACCATGTCGGGCGCGAAGAGGCCGTCGGGGACGACGGCCGGGTTGAACTTCATCTTCTCGCGCGTGACGGGGTCGACGAAGGGCGTGATGAGCTTGTAGAAGCCGGCGAGGAGCCAGGGCAGGTTGAGGATGAGCGCGCGACCGAGGCGCTCCGGATAGTGGTCCTGGATGATGCTCAGCACCTTGCGCGACGTGCCGAAGGACGGGTTCTTCGCCTTGTCGGCGTAGTTGATGAGCAGAGCCAGCGTTCTGCGGCGGCGTGACGTCAGCGAGCAGGAATGCGAGAAGGAGGGAGGGACGTACTCGACTCCAGGGCCCATGAGGTCGATCGTCCGCTCGAGCATCCATACCACGAACTCGATTTGTCGCGGGCCCTCCTCCGTATTCTGACGCGACGGCACGAGATAGAGCGCAGGTCGGCGATCGACGTCATACCCGAATATGATCTCCTTGCCCGTGAACGCCTCGGGCTCGACGTGTGCTGCGGTAACGGTCGTGTACAGCCCGAACTCGCGACGCCACTTGAGGGTCGACTCGAGGCGGGTGATAGCAGTGTCTACGACCCACTTGGACGCACGGAGGTATCTGGGCAAACAGGTGATCAAATTTACGCAACGCGTAGTGTAAGTCTGTAATTATCTACCGTAGGATGCACTCGTAAGACTGTGAGTAGGATCATTAGAGCTCATCAAGCGCGTTCAAGAGACGCGTCGACGCACCAGCCAGAACTGTTCGTCCTCCGTCAACTTGCCGTCCTCTACCCCGGGCAGCTTGTATTCTGCGTCGTCGAACTTGGCGAGCACCTTCTTCCTCATCTCTTCTTGTGCTGGCGTCAAGTCATAGTTCGGCGGCTTGAACCCTTCCTTGACAGGCGGAGGAGGCAAAGGCGTGTAGTCCGGCATCTTAGTGTCTTTCCCTGTCTATGTTATGAACCTGGGATCAATAGGGTGGGGAGGAGGAGGACGTCCAACAAGGCAGTCAGGTCAGCGGCAAACACGACTGGAGCCATAATAATTCGCGAGCGGACCAATGAGAGGCGCGCCTTCGCCTCGGACGACTTTACGATTAGCGTGGGTAACGTGGCAGTGCCCATCAATCTCCCAGCGAACCTTCGAAGGGATGCGAAAGCGGGGTACTATGCTCCGATCCCGTTCTTGGATAACATCTTGCTTGCTACCATATTCACGACCTCGTCTGCCTGGTCATCGCATACTGCCGCAAAAACAGAACAAATACTCACTTACATCAGCTCTCTGTTACTCCTCCAAGCCGGCTTCAATGTATCCACCGATTGAACCGTATCAGACTGGCACTCTCAAGGTGTCGGACATACACACCCTCTAGTCAGTCGCCGTGTCTCGAGATCGCGCCTGACCGGCGGCCTGGAATGAATACTGTGCTTGCTATAGCTATGAACTAAGTGGAAACAAAGAGGGTGTACCCGGTACGATCAGCCTCCCGAAGATGGTCCATCTCTGCCTCCGATTTGGCTCACGGACTTACGTGTTTACAGTGGTGTTCCTCCACGGCGGACCCGGGGGTGGCGTGGACGCGAAAGATCGATCGTTCTTCGATCCCGTTAAATACAAGGTCAGTATGCCCATGTCTTCAAGTTACGATCCGCCCTCGCTCAGTCGTTGACCCCTTGCCCTCTCTTCCTAACCGCAGATCATTCTCTTCGACCAACGCGGCGCTGGAAAATCTACACCGAGCGCATGCTTGGAGGAGAACACCACGTGGGACCTCGTCAAAGACATTGAAAAGCTGCGCCAGGAGTTGAAGGTTGATAAATGGCACGTCTTCGGCGGATCATGGGTATGGACCCCTCCTCTATACCATACGTCCGGACGAACTATGTACTTACGGCTTTGTCAAGGGCTCCACTCTCTCGCTGGCATATGCGCAAGTACGTCTCCTTGGTTTATGAAAGAGCAAAACAGGCTTCTCAAGGCACTCCTCGTTCACAGTCTCACCCTGATCGGGTCAAATCTCTCACACTACGGTGAACCCGAAGGTGCATATATCAACAGAAGAGAAACCCTAATGCTCGCACAGCGGCATCTTCACCCTACGCAAATCCGAGCTCAAGTTCTTCTACCAAGAAGGCACCTCCCACCTCTTCCCCGAAGCATGGTACCGTCCTCTTTACGACCCCCAGACGATATTATATTCACTCATGTCACAGGGACGAGTACCTCGCGCCAATCCCCGTCGAAGAGCGACACGACCTCATCCTCGCCTACCACGCTCAGTTAAACTCGGTCGACGACGAGACACGGATCAAGGCGGCCAAGGCATGGAGCAAGTGGGAGTGAGTGAATAGCCTTGGCTACTTCTTTGATCTTTGCATCGTACAGTAGGTCTCTGTTGCTGATGACAGGTTTTCCCGTTGCGTCCGTACACAGGATGGTCACCTCGAAGTTGTTCGTCGATCCCGAGCACGTCGCCGAGGCGGATAAGGATGAGTTTGCGAAGTACCTGATTTCAGAATTCATACTCCGGATTTCTATCTGATGCGTTCACAGCGCCTTCGCGAGAATAGAGAACCATTATTTCGTGAACGGGGTGCGCCGACTTCGATGGTCCGTCCGCTCGTGCTCACGTCGGCGTTCCAGGGCTTCATGCGCGACGGCCAGCTCCTCGCACCACAAGAGATCGACAAGATGTGCGTCCAATAAAAAAGCAATTCAAAGAATCGAACTCCATCTGACGTCTGTTGCCATTCCGACGCAGCCGCCACATCCCCTGCACGGTCGTCCAAGGCCGGTACGACGTCGTCTGCCCCACCACGACTGCGTACGCCCTGAAGAAGGCGAGTCTTGGCGAGGATATGTGTCGCTCACCGCCTGACCTCTCGCTGCGCCAGGTTTGGCCGGAGATCACGCTTCACATCGTTCCCGACGCGGGACACTCCTCTCGCGAACCCGGCACGGCCAAGCTGCTCGTCGAGGTAAGCATGGCTCGCTCCCTACCGCTCATCGATGTACCGAACTTGTGTCGTCCCCAGGCCGCAAACAAATACGCCGACCTTTGAGCAAGGTGCAAGCGAAGTGGCCAGCAGCCGCGCGGACGACGTACTATATACATACCGTGTCTGCATTTGGAACAATTATCAACGAGCGGCTCCAGGCGAAGTGAAGGGCAAATATATGTATTACAGTTTAGATTTGCGGGTGCCGATTCTGTACTATGTATGTAGAAAAAGGAGGGCAGGCATCATTGCGGGGACGAGCCAGACGGTCATGCGTACGTAACGTATCGAATGCAGAGCAAACAGAGCAGCGGGGCGGACATGCAAGGATTGCGGTTATGGACACGAACGAACGCAATAACAGAATAATAAAAAAACTATCACGGACTAAACAGACGGGGAAAAGGGAGAGGCGATGTATATTACCAAACCAGGAGCCTTATGCTTGTGCTTGCGGATCATTGAATTTCGTCGGGGAGGTCATGACATCGAGGGTCGATCATGAGAGGTCGTCGAGAGAAGGAGGGAACGGCGCCGGTCGCAGCGCCTCACCGTGCACCCTGACACGGTACAGGCACGTGAACTCGTCCTGGCCCCAGTTACTCTCCACGCGGAGGGCGACGAGTCCAACGTCGATCCCGAGCGCCATGTACTCCTCGTCAGCCGCGAACGTCTGGATGTTCTCCGGCGAGTGCACGTCGTAGGTGAGCTTCGCCACGCGAATCCACGGGGCGGATGTCGGCAGCGTCTCCGGAACCGCAGGCTCCTCGTCCTCCTCCACAACCGTCACGCTCTCGTCGTCGATCTCGGCCGCGACCCTGCGCTCTTCTCGGAGTCGCGCCTTCTCCGCCTTCCACGCCTCAAACTTGGCCACGTTCTCCGAGCCCTCGACCATGCCCCAGAGCTCCATCTCGCGCGGCGCCGAGCGCATGTCGAACGCGACCTCCTTCGCGACGTGGTCGATCGTCACCTCCGTCACGAACACGGGCGCACTCAGCTGGATCCCGAGCTGGCCCTGAGACCCACGGAACGGCCAGCAGTGGCCGACAGCGAGCTCGTGGTGGAGCGCCGTCACGGGCGGGCGGCCGACCGCGTATCCGCGCCCGGTGAGGAAGCCGAGCACGTTTCCGCGTACGCCCGCCGGCCGGATCTCGTACGTCTCGCTCGTCAGCTGCGGGATCACGCCTGCGCCGGCCGAATAGAGCGCAAAGTCCTGGCGCGCGATCACGTCCTTCGAGTACCGGCCGACGGCGGTGTCGACGAGGTGACCGATCAGCTTCGTCACGTCCTGCCCATCCGCCGACTTGATGGTGAGCGCCGACTTGCCCGCTGTCGAGGTCGCGAGCTTGTGCCACCAGCGCTCCGCCGCCGCCGCCTTGCTGGGATCCGCCTTCAGCGCATTCTTGCTCGCCTCGAGCGCATCCTTCACGCCGCCCTCGACGCCGCCGAGCCGCTCCTCGAGCGCCTTCAGCCGCGCCCGCGCCTCCTCGTCGCTCCCGATGGACGGGCGGCGCGCCGCAGCAGCGACCTGGCTCTGCAGGCTCTGGATCTCCCGCCGCACCTCGCCCAGGCCCTCGCGCTCCCATTTCCGCGCCTGCTCCTCCGACTGGCCAACGCGCGCGGCCTCTTGCCTGACCTTCGCCTCGAGCGACGCCAGCCGACCCGCGAGACCCTCCCGCCCGCGTGTCTCTTCCTCGAGCCGATGGCGCTCTCGCACGCTTTCCGCCGACATGCCCGAAAACGCGGTTTCTAACCGCTGCAGACGAGACGCAAGTTCGGCGAGGTCCGACGCAGGGATGCTCGGCGCCTGGTACTCGTACCCTCCACGGCTGCGGCTGGGGACGAAGCCTGATAGCGGGTCGCGAAGGAAGTACCACGCCGCGTACAGCCCGAGGCCGGTAACCAGATACTTGGTCGCTGTGACTGCTGCCTTTGAGCGCCGCCGGCCGGCAAAGAATTCAACTGGCCGCTTGAGCGTCACGTCGTAGATCGCGCCGAGAATCCACCCGAGGGTGAGCGTCACGAAGGACAACGCGCGGAAGACGAGCGCGACGAGTCCCATGACCATACGCCATACGAGGTGCACGAGCCGCCCGAGGAAGCCGCCGACGGAAAACTTGCCGCGCCGCATCTTTGGGGCGGCGGGGATGTAGGCGTCGTCGATGAGCGGGGGTTCGTCAAGCTCGGGGATGGACTGAAGCCCTTGTTCGACGTCGAATGTGTCGTTGACGCCGCTCGCGTCGAAGCTGTCGCCCATCTCGCGCGACACGGACGCGCGATGTATCGCATTCTGCAGCGGCTGGGCTGTGCGGGAAACGGATGCTCGTTGTGACATGGAGCGCTACAGCCAACGCTAGTCAGTGGGAGCGCTCTTCTCGCCGAAGTCGTGACGTACCTGCTCGCTAATCTGCTCTTCCTCTTCACTTCCTGATTCTGCATCATCGTCATCGCCTCCGTTGCCTCCTTTCTTTCCTTTCCTCTTCCTCCTTTTATCATATCCTGCCACAGGCAACGTCGTCAAGGGCCCGCCCACGCTATCGCGCTTGCCCTTCTTTCTCCTCCTCCTCCTTCCTCCATCACTCACTTCCTCTTCTGATTCTTCGAAGTCTGACGCCGACGGCTTATATGCGCGGTTATCCTCCGAAATCTTGTTCTTCCTATTCGCGGTGCTCGTCGTCCTCCTATGCGCCGACGACGCCTTCTCCTTTTCTGCCTGATAGTCCCGCTCCTCCTGGGAATAGTCGTAGCTCTCCTCCTGCCCGCGCCCGTTCGCGGTCGGGGCCGGCTGCTCCGGCTCACGCGACCGCTGGCGCATGAATATGGACAGCGGCTGGACGGCGGCCTGCGCCATGTCGAGCGCCTGTCCAAATGGACTCTTCGCGCGGCTCAAGAGTGACGAGGTCTGCGACGGCTCGTCCTCGCCCTCGGAATCGGGCACGTGCCGCACGGACGCGGCCTTGCCCAGCGGGCGGCGGCCCGCCATCTGCGACGAGCGGCTCGGGGGCGGGTTCAGCCGGCGCTGGATGATCGACTGCGTCTCCTTCTCATATTCGACGGAGGTGCTGCGCGGGACGCGAGCCTTCGTTTGGGAGCCGGACGCCCAGGCGTAGCTGTTCGGGTTGGTGGTGGCGGAGGGGGGTGGTTGGTTGGTCGGCATGTCGGCGACGCCGGCGGCTTGTTGAATGGCGTTGGCGATCTGGACGGAGGTGTCCTTCACTGCCCAGTGCGCGGGGTCGGGCGGGGTGGTGACCACGCGCGGGCCGTGTGAGCGGGGCTTGCTGGTTCCAGCCGGCGCGGAGGGCTCCTTGCCGTGCTTAGGCGGAGACCGCGTCTGGAGCGTAGGAGCTCTAGGATATCGCAGGGGAACCGTCAGCGATGAGTGCAAGGAAGACAATGCGTCAGATGTATGAACTCACCCGTAGGCGTAGGACGAGGGGATGGCACGCGAGGCGGAGGGTTCCTTGGGCGGCGCGTTTGGGTTGGGTTTTCCGAGAAAGGTGTAGTGGTCGAGACGCCTGCCTTGGCCGAGCGGTGTGCTCGAGAATGACATATAAGACGGTGGCTGGACACGCGAGGGGGGGATGAGCAGCCACGTTCGGGTGGGAGTTGCTGGTTGTTATCTATGACGAGGGGGCGGCGGCGACGCGGGGGACGACGACGACGAGGGGCGGTGTGTGTGCTAATCGCGGTGCGGAGGGCGCGTGGAGGGCGCGCGCCGATGGGGGTCGGATGCAAGTTTGGTCGAGGCGCGCAAACCGCGAGGCGGGAGATGTCACTCAACGAGGGCCGCAGAGTGACACATTGTTCCCTGGTCACACATTGTTCTCGTTTTGGCCTTGTTTGGTCACACGCCGTGGCTAAGCCACAGCACCGCCACCCCCTTTTCAAGCACAATAGCGATCTCAGATGCGAGTGGCAAAGCACGGTCAACACACTCGTGCTAAGTAGAAGGACATGGCAAGCTTAAGATGGGCACGAAACGGGGATAAAGGAAAGCAACGAATTTGATTTGATATCGACAGCAAGATGATCTATACTAGTGTACAATGCGCTCCGATACCCGAAAGCACTACACTACAAGGATACCATTAATTGATTCCAATCCGTAAATATCCGTGCCCACTGCAGTTGTCCCATCCACAGAACATAGCCCGTGTGTGTTCATTCTTCATCATCAGCTTCATCGTCGAAAGCGTCGTCATGATAGTTTCGTCCCTCTGAAAGCGTTCGCGTCGACCCCACCATCGTTGTCACCTGTCGAGGGCTGCCACGATGGACTCCAGAACTACCTTCGGCTTTAGCAGCAGCGTCTCGTCCATCGTGCCCTCCTCGTCCTCTTCCTCGCCCGCGTCCTCCTTCCGCGTCGTACACCTCAACCCGAGCTCCGTGCAACACAATACCTTCGCCCTCCCAGCAGCCGCAGCTTGAGCCGCCGCCGCCTCCCCGTCCTCCGCCGCGTCGCACATCTCCGTCGCATCGTACGCCGTCCCTTGCGGCACCGTACCCACCTCGAAATTCGTGCTCAATATCTCCTCCCTCGTCACCTGCGCCAGCTTTCCCACCGCGAGCACGATCCTCCTCAGCTGCGGCCCAAAGCGCGTCTTGAGCGCGACCGGCGCCGCAAATGCCGCCTGCGCCTCGCGACATCCCGCCGCTGCGAGCAGGTCCGCCGTCCACCTGAGCATCGTCGCCGCGAGCTCGTTCAGCGCGTGCTCCTCCACCGTCCTGTACAGCGCCCGGATGTGGTGGTGCGTGAGCGCTCGCCAGCGTGCGGACGTCGCCTGCGCCCGCGTTGCGCGCATATGCTCGTAGATCTGGCACAGCAGCATGTCGTACTTGCTCGCCAGCCCCGGGCAGAAGCTCGCGAAGAACCGGGCCACGCACGCCGACAACAGCGACTGCAGCGCGAACTGGACCAAGATCGGGTCCCGGCCGTGATCCCGGCTGGCGAGCACGCGCACGAACCCGGGCCCGAGCCTCGCCGCCGTGTCCTGGATCGCCTGCACCGCCGGTTTCGCCGGCGAATTTCTGGCCCCTCCCCGCGTCGTCGTCGTCGCGCACAGCTCCGAGACGCCCGCCGCGAACTGGAGCACCTCCGAGTTGAGATCCCGCACGGCCTCGCACACGTCCGCACCGGACCACTCGTCGGTCTTGGTGCAGAACACCTCGAGGCTCTTCTGCCTCGCCCTGGCCTCCGCCTCCGACCACGCCTTGCGCGGCACGGCCGTCGCGACCTCCCGTCCGTTCCTCGCCGCGACGTGAAACGAGCGCTTCGGGCGGAGCGTGCCCTGCTCGCGCTCCGCCTGCATCTTCAATGACGCCGCGTTCACCTGTTGCAGCGCGCGCCGGTCCTCCTCCCGCTCCCGCTGGTGCTCCTCCACGAGCCGCGCCATCTCCCGCTTCAGCCGCTCGATCTCCCCGTCCCGCGCCCTCAGCATCTCCCGCGTCTCCCTTACGGCGCGCTCCAGCAATCGGCACCGATCGCGCATCGCGGCCACGTCCGCGTGCTCATGCTTCATCCCGTCGTCCTCGTCCGTCTGCACTTGTACGGCTCGCGTAGATATACTCGTAGCGGTAGCTTGATTCTTTTCAGTGTTGGTGGGGGTGGTGAAGGCGGCGGGAGGATAGGCGGTGGCGAGTGGCCGAGTGCTTCCCTGGCAAACGCGGCAGCGTGCGGGGGAGTCGGAGCGCCCGCGGACTCGATCGCCCGATAGCGTGACCCTCACGAACGTCCTGTCCTGTCCCTCGACGACGCGGATGCGAAACGGCGAGCTGGTCCGCGCTCTCGAGTGGCTGCTCCTGCGCTCGGTGCTGCCGTGTGCGCTGATGGATCGTGGCTCGACGGCGGCGGTGGGGACGCCGTCGGATCTGTGATATACGGGCGACTCCCGGCGCGAGGACGAGCGGAGATAGTCTCGCGAGCTTACTCTGGACACGGGCAGCATCGTCGCGGGGCGGGAGAGTCTCCGTCAGTTCTGGAGCGAAAACAAGCTTTCATGCAATCAATCGCGCTCACGGTCAGCCGCTCTCGAATGCACAGCGGATTGTAGATGGACGGCTGGCTTCCTCTTCCCTTCTTCTGCCCGTTGTGGTGAGGATCCGTCCGGTGTGTGATTCTGAGTGAAGCTCGCTGTTGGGCACGTTGGATGCGCGCCGTGGAAGGATGTGACAGAAACGCGAGGCAAGGCAAGTGCCCACCGGAGCTGACTGTGGCCGAGATTTACATCATGTTGGTGGCGGTATCCGCGATGCGGGTTGTCACAAACCACCGGCCACATTCCGCTAAAATTCTGATTGCCTGTGATTGCCATCTACACAATATTCGATCCAAGTTCAAGCATCTGAAAGGGAACACCTCGTTCACAGGTTGGATATAGATTGGCAAGTGTGTTTGCTGCCTCAGAGTCCAGCCTGCGTCGCTTTGCGCAGGCATTGACATGTCTCGAGGTCGAACCTGAAGACAGTCATCTTTTTCGGCGCATACACAGCAGTTCTACTGATCAATGTACTTTTCGAAAGGTAGTACTATAAGATCGTCTGTCTGCGCAACGTGCCCCAGATTGAAAACAATGCACCGCCGAGGCTGAATGCCCTCCCAGCGGATGCCTTGGTTGTACGTGTCACCCCTATCCTAGGAGATCGCGATCGTAAAGCCGCTTTTTGAGTTGGAAGGTTCTCGAACGAGTGCACCTTACCAGCAAGTGGACGGTGGGAGCAACGATTCTATCCTCAGGAGTCGTTTGATATATCAACAGGCGTCCGCTACAGTAGGCATTGATGACAAGGGAGCGGAAGTGTGTGATCTAACGGTATGCTGTATACTTTACTCTCCTGCAGTCTAGTTACGCTTATGTCCTTGGTTATTGATAATAGCATGCGTACAGGTAGTGCAACGGGACCCCAAGATAAGAAAAAACACAAGCCGTCCGTAGTACGAAGATATGCTCCCCAAGTTTCGTGTTCTATTTCATGTAAACTCAGGTGTGCGCGCCCTAATCCCCCTAGACAAATTTGAATGCACGAAATATTACATAGCGAGCGCATTTACAAAACGGGCGATACCGATCTTCCAGAGCGAAGATTATAGAAATTTACAAGACTGAGCTGACATTCAACAAGTCGGAACACACGACTCGTCGGTGGAAACAATTGTAGACTGGAGCAGGTACGAGTGACAATAGGTCAGGCATACTCGAAGCGCTTGCATCACTACTTAGCATAGCAGATATCAGCGCCTGCCACTATTACTGGCCCGTCGTTGTGAGCTTTTGAAGATGTTCAACAACATGCACGAAACTCTCACTTATGATCAGGTGCTCACCGGGACTGGCATTCGAGGAAATGCGGCGTGAGTAATGTATTCTGACTTTCTGTAGCGGAAGTCCGATGCTGAATAGGTCTCTCTCTATGTCGGGTACTCCCGCATAGGGCTGCCCTTTCGTGTCGATGATCTCGCAGTCGAATCTGGGCAGCAAGAGCACACTAACAACCTTCAGCAACGTCTTGGCGAACCTCTGACCAGGGCAAGCGTAATTGCCTATGGACATAAGTAAGCCTAACGGCGATCCTTTGATATCGCGTGATTGACTGACCGTAGCCCCAGCCTAACGACGCGAGTGGCTTTGCTTCGGCTTTTGACAGATCGCGGTCCGGCTTGAACTCCTGCGGATGCTCGTATATCTCCTCGTCGAGGTTCGCTTCCTCTGTCATGAGCAAAACAAAGTCTCCGCTGCGAATGGTATGGCCTTCAACTGTCAGGTCCGATCCCGTATTCCTACGTGGCAACGCTCCGATCGCAACGAGCCTCACGGTTTCCTGTATACATGATTCAAGGATCGGTAGTTCTGACTCCCATGCACTCAGACCGATTGTGCCCAATGCTTCGGCCGTCAGATGGGAAGAGCCGGGACAGTTCCTGGACACAAACTGCGAAATCTCGGCGTTAACCTTCATGTGCCATTCGGGATGCTGAATCAGATAAACTACAAAATCGTATGTGAGCCGAGATAGCGCGACTCTAGGAAATGGCAGACCATGGAGCCATATCAACATTGCGCTTGTTGTGGAAGACGCGGCGAACGTCGACATGGCTGTGAGCTAGCAATATCATGTTTCCAGTCAATTCTCGTCAGAACGCAAACTCGGTCAGCGAAACTCGCCTGTACGCATGTCACCAAGTCCACGTTATCGTCGAGAACTACTTGCAGTACATCCTGCCCTACGGTTTTTGATGTGCGACGTTCCGCGGCGACCCTTCTGACTAATAAGAAAATCCGCAGGCTTCCCAGCCAACAGCGCACCCGACTAGGGGTTGGAATCAACGGGAACAGCAGACTGTGAGGCTGGGCACTCTCGTTGAGCCATCGAAAGGCATGCATTGCGTAGGTGACCGTATCTTCGTCATCTGCCGCTTCGGAGCCGAGCGCAATGCGCAGGCCTATTCTAAAGACAATCTGAGCCAGGGATAAGTCAATATGCACGAACTGAAGGTGGAAGTTGACCAACTTTCGGATACATTTCGAACGGATCGATGATTCCGGATTCTCCCCACTGCTCAAGCGTCTCCGAAAGAGCTTTGATGGTGGGTACTATTTCTGTGAGACATTCAGTCCGAAGATAAGAGCCTTTATACAGCACTCTTACGAGACTCTATGGCTTCTGTGCGCATGAATTGGCGAAGGAAAGGTCCGGCGCTGTCATGTGAACCAGAATGCCGATTTTTCACAAACATGCGTTGCAACCCAGGTCCCTGAGCAGCAGCTGAACTCAGCAATGTGTATACCTATCCTTGGATAGCATCACTCTCACCAACATACTATATCCTTGCATAAAGCTGAATGACCTATGGGTGAAACACACCTTCTTGGCCACATCTCCAGCCGGAAGAACAATATGCACCTGTTATGTGAGTGCTTTCAGTGGTATGAAGGCATTCAACTTAGACCGACAATCTTACGCCGCAGATTGTGAACCTGATCCAAGACGACGGGAATGTTGCGCGCAGATTGCGGATGTAACGGTAAGGATCCAAAGCGAAGTCGATCGATCCAACGAAAGGCAGGCCGCGAATCACAAGCGTGTTCGACTCCTGTTCCAACCTGACAACTTTATGACTGGAGAACCATGTATATAATCCCCATAGGGGCATTGCGAGGGCGCAGGTTAAGGTGGCCTGGACTAGAGGTGACAGTGGCATGACGACTTGGAAGGGAAAGGCCGCTGCTTGAGTGCCGGCTCGTATATCGTACGCAGTGGCCGTCCTCAATTGGTGCTGTCCATTAAAAGTAGTATGCGATGAGGACTTACGTAGCCAAATTTGACTCATAGATCAATCACATGCAGTCAGTGTGGGCATCGGCAAGTAGAGTCCGAGTCAGGTAGGCCATCTTGACATAGGAAACAATCATCGAATTAACCATCAGAACGCTATAAATTTCGGCGACTAATAGGCACCGGTGATTGCATTGTTAGCTACCCCTGTTCATCATCGCGCTGTTTCAAGCTGTGCGACCTAGGAGCGAGGCCCGTATGCAATGCATTATGCTAATTATTCGCACTACACCTATTCATCATCTCCATATGCGTGCGACCGTCCGACGCTCATGCATGCTGTGCGATTCAAATGGTTATCTTTCGTCTTATTACATTCCGTATCGATGCGTATTGACGTCTGTGGGTGCGGACGAAGGGGATGACAGGGGAACTTGCAATTGGCCGCCGGTAATGAAGTCCAAGTCCAATTTAAGAATGAAAATAGACGTCGATGACTATGACTGAGCGCAAATTGCAGCTGTCGCCAACACACCGGAGGAGAAGAAGATAAGAGAGTACCCTGGTCACCTTTGCGCTGTAAATAAAACCAATCTTGTTATCAATAAACCATAGGGACTGCGTGAACAGCTTTTTGCACTTCGGCGATACCCACCCGGTATCCAGGCAGCGAGGCGAATGACTACGGCTTCGGGAATAACAAGAACTGTAACAGCACACCATTATTGGAATGGCCAGCGTCTCATGCGCGCTCTCAGGGCAGGTATGAGGCAATACTTGCCCCTCGTCCAAAGATCACGAGTACATACTATGACATGCATTTCGTCTCGTTCGTATGTAAGTTACATGTTGCGGGGAGACTAGGGCCAGATATCCCCCCCCCAGGACCGGCGGTCCTAACATCCTCGCGAACGATACATATCAAAAACTTGATTCAGTCCGCCTTCCCTAGAGCAATAGTCTCAAGCGGCATCTCGTCAAAATTTGAGGGCACCTTCGCATTGGTTCGGTCAAACCCATTGCTGCTGTCCCTTGATTTTCCGAGCGTGTCTGAATCAGTGACAGTATGTTTGAAGATTAAGGGTAGAGTTCGCCCCGTTTGGGATCTTGAGAATGTTGTGGTTGGCCCGCGAGCCTTGAGAGAGGAGCTCCAGACTTGGTGAAATCAGCATGTATGACATTCGACCGCAATATCGTCCTTGCATACCTGTGGCAAAAACAACACCGAGGATAGATACGAACGTGTTGACCTTTGGTAAAGAATCAGAATTGAAGTACGAGTTGTCGTGAATCGGGTGACTCACCATCATAATATATGCTCCAACAAAGAACGAGTTCTTGCTGAATATGATGATGATCTGAACGAGATTAAATACCACTGTGCACGGCAGATATGATAATGGGTGAGAGATATCTTCTTGTAGAATATTGAGACCAACCGGGAAACACGAAGTTAGTTAATGCGATCCAGAACAACATCCTCAACCTCCCAGACAAAGAATCTATCCGCGTAACGCCGTCAGTCTTTGACACAGCCAGTGGAAATTATGAGTTTTACCCATGGAGCCATTTGTGACGCGACCGGAGTCGGATGCTGCATGGTGGAACCCGCCCTTGATCTTCCAAAGAAACAGAGCTGACGCGTAGCTGTGCGAGGAGGTGAGCATCTTGCCTCGGTTTCTGTACTGGTACTATGCCATACGTACCCGTTATCAAATATCTGAGACACCCACTCGACCTTGGTATACGGAGAGTGTGCCCAGGTTCTCTGAGCAGCTTGTACGGGGTTCGTGATATTCGCAATATTTTCATGCCACTTGACTGCAAATGCAACGTTCATCGAGAGCCGGACACATTTAATAGCGATAGGAAATGAAAAAATGGCCAAAGTAGCCATCCACGGCTGGCTTTGTGGAGGATACACAGCGGCGAGTCGCGCCAGTAGCACAAGGTCGACTAGCCACGGGGTAGAACTGTACACTACTTCGAACGCGAAGAAAGTGCTTTGGCGAAATGGCGCTAGTGGTGACAGAATAGCATGAATCTGATTGCTTTGACGTTAGCCCAACACTGGTAGCTCAGTGGAAAGTTCGCTATTTACCTCGAGTACACCATTCCAAATACCGAGTGCGATGCCAAGTACCACGTCGAGTACAACTATGATGAAGATAGCAGAACGACGGTTGGCTGCCGTGGAGAAATAGAATACGCAGATCAACAACGGAATGAGCATGGATGAGAAAACTGTGCCGATCATCAGAAATGCTACAGATGGTTGAATGCTGTGGCCGTATGCTTCAATGATCGGTACGGCTATAGGAGGGATGCCATCGGGAGGACTAGAAGATGCCATGACGGATATTAGGAGCGAAGAGGAGAGGTTTGAGGTTTGCTCAGATCGTCACCCAAGACTTTAATAATTCGTACTTTGCCCATCGTATGTCTCCGTGGACCCCGTGCACTACCTCGTCCCATAAAATTCGTGGAAATGTATCATACACAGTTCCATGTTGCCTCGATCCCTTGAGAGCAGGTCTGAGAATAGTTCTTGATGTTGGTCCATGTACACCTGCTAAGATGCTCTGAGTTGAATCCATGAATAAACCATCGTACCTGTTTCCGATAAGCGCAACAGCTGTGAACACGATTTAGCCACGCACGGACCATAACGAGCCTCAAATCGGACACAGTAGCTCGACTGCCATCATCAAGACTCTGATGTCTGTGTCTTTACGGGAGTACGGAGATTGTATTATTGGTTCACTGGGTAGGTCCACGTAACGCATCGGTAGAATGGAAGCGAATAAGGTTGTATACGACGCGCTGCGTTATGTTTATCCATACCCCAAATAGCTACCCTGATGACTTGCGACCTATGGTGTACACGCCGCGGCAATCAAACAAGGCCGTGTAATACGAGTAGTGCAGTGAAAATGTATGGGTCCCTGCTCGGATAGCAACACGGGACTTCCTTGTTGTTTCCGGTGTCATACGATAAGATCACTGCCCGCAGGAGATGGGCCGTCGTTATATCAGGGACTACTTGGATGGGATAGTGCCGGTGACATAGCAGGAATATAAGGTCTATAACGCGGGGACGTATAGTGTGATGTGTCGTGCCAACGACATATGTCCATGAGGTGTCCAATATTGTTGCTGGCATACGTAGTAGATATCGTCCCCCCTGGTGTTAAAGATGTCCGCTTATGCTGGAAGAGTCGGAGAACCCAGAATGCAGTGGAACATCAAGTGCCAAGGAACATAGACAGCCATTGTTCCGAGAACCAGAACGGACGTGGGCTAGGCTTCCCGCGGCGTGGAGACACTGCGCCGGGAACAGCAGTGAGATTGTTTGCTATTATTGCACCAGCATATTCGTGATTTACCATCTTACGTACGGGTCAATGGTCGACTTCGCTTTGTCTAGACGCCCCGACCGTGCGAGTGCATAGCACCAAGATGACAGGGAAGATCTTGGACAGCTTGATAAAGATCGAAAGGCAGTCCAAGAAGTTCTGCAACATGAGAGAGACGAGCGATGCCGAGTAGGCGCCTGCCGCAGTGATTGCTGTCCATGCCAAATGAATCACGGGAGCCCCGACCATGATGTAACGGACCAAGGTGTAACTCTACAGATACTACTGTTCCATTCCATGTCACATATAGCCATACCTGTGCACAGGTGGGCGCGACTCGCACGGATTCAGATATAGAGATGTTCTGGCCTCGCCGGGACACAGCGCCTACGGCTTCTCTGGCGCGGGGTCCATCACATATCCCTCGACGTTCCTGCCTCAACCACCCAACCACCTTTTCTCTCGCCCAAACCTGTTCTCTACCAACATGTGGCCTTTTTCAGAGAAGTACCCTACCAGAACCTTGGAAGAGATAGCGTCCCGGGAATTCGACTATATTGTTGTACGTGCCTTACGAACTACGCTTCTGATTGCCTGACATTCCACTCCAGGTAGGAGGTACGACATTCTACTTATCACTAGGACTCTCTTCAAACATCTTTAGGCGGCACTGCGGGCTGCGTCGTCGCCTCTCGTCTGAGCGAAGATCCGAACAATCGCGTTCTGCTCCTCGAGCGTGGTCCTGCTATAACGAGCTGGCTATCCCGCGTACCTCTTCTCTCCCAAGACTTCAGATTACCAACTGCTCCAGCATACAAATGGACTTCACAACCATTGCAGGCGGCCAGCGATTTGACAAATAAGATGGTCTCCGGCAAGGCCCTCGGAGGGACGTCGAAGATCAACGCCAGCGTTTACCACAGGTCGACGCCGGCTGATTACAACGCTTGGTCAAGCTTCGGTGTGAATGGCTGGAGCTGGTCTGAAGTCGAACCGGTTTTTAACAAGTCCGAGAAAAGCCTCTCGCATCCGAATTCGCCTCATCGTGGACATGATGGTCAGTCACTATCGGTCGCATCATGGACGGAAGGTGATTGCCTGTCTTTCAGGGCTATGGAAAAACAGGGTACCTCCGATCTATTACAAGCACACGCCACAGTGAGCTCCTGGTACGAGGGCATGTACGCGATCAATAACGTGTAAACCGCAGAATCATCGAAGCCTGTTCAAACATCGGCATTCCCTACCTGAAGGACGCGAACGATCCGAATGCGCAGTCGTTTGGATGTACGCGCCTCGACGTTACGCTCGGGGAAGATGGCTTGCGTCAGTCGTCTTTCGACGCCTTTCTTTCCCACGAGGTATCATACTCTTATTTCCCTTCGTGGTCCTAGGTTGACACAGCTTGCTCCCAGATCGCCATAGCTCGCAAAGGGAACCTTTTCGTATGCCCGGGAGTCATCACTACTTCTGTCCATCTGCAGCAGACGGTCCAGGGTCCCACAGCAGTGGGCGTTCAGATGGAATACGAAGATGCTGATGACAAAGATGCATCTGTATCCTTCTACGCGCGAGCTCGTCGCGAAATCGTCATATCCTCGGGAGCTATCGGAACCCCACAGCTCTTGATGCTCAGGTATCTGTTTCCAATAGCTCAATTCTCAGCCAGCACTGACATTACCATTGGAATCGCTCAGTGGGGTCGGACCTGCTGATCATCTGACGAATCTCGGCATTCATGTGCACAAAGACTTGCCGGGAGTCGGTAACGGCTTGGTGCGGTGCTCGTGTGTCATGTTGCTCTACATACTAACGCGTCATATACACAGCAAGACCATTCGGGCGTTGCCGTGGAGTACAAAATCCCCAAGTCCGAAACTCTTCACGCTGCGGAGAGCTCGATGATCCTCGTCATTCGCGAGCTGATCAAGTTCTTAGTCACCGGAACGGGCCTCTTCCTCTCGCCGAACCCCCAGGTCTCGATCTTTGCCATGTCCAAAACGTTGGACTTCACCTCAGACCTACTTGTCCGCGCTGACAAGCGCGACCTTGACGCTCATAATCCGGAGAATATCTGTGACATCGAAATTATGCCGATTCCTGCCAACGCACGCGACCCTCTCTTCAAGGACCGACTGAAGAAATCTGAAGGAGGTTTCTCCTTCCTTTGCGCGGGGCTCCGCCCCAGATCCACAGGAACAGTGCGCTTGAACTCGCTTGATCCCCGAGCGAGGCCGGAGTGCGATCTTCGAACATTCTCCGATGGCGAAGATCTTGTCGTTATGCGCAAGGCGGTTAGACTGGCTCTCATGATTGGTCGGAAAATGCGCGAACAAGGTTATCCTATGAGCGACCTGCACGTCCCGAAAAGCGAAAGCGACGCGGATCTAAACGATTTCATCGAGAAGGACGCGCAGTCGACGTATCATTATTCTTCTACCTGCAGGATGGCGCCAGAGAAACAGGGAGGCGTGGTGGATGACCAGCTGCGGGTGTATGGGATCCATGGGTCAGTGAAACGCTCTGTGTTATCTGAAGTCGTCCTGATAACCTTCCAGACTTCGGATTGCTGATTCCAGCATTTTCCCGACAATTCCTGCCGCTCATGTGAGCGAATTCATGCCTCTTGAGTCTCTCTCGTACTCACCGACCGGATAGCTTCAGGCGCCAGCGGTCATGATTGGAGAACGATGCGCGGCGTTCATGATGGGTTCCTGAAGTGGTGTCGCGCAATGAGTTCCGTGTTTACTGAAGGAAAAGGTCAAGCTCGCGAGGGTTGACGATAGCCGTGTGCACGCCAATTTTGATTTTGCAGAACTACGGAAATGTCTACGCCTGAAAGGTTGCCTGTATACGTTGCTACATGTAATTTGATCCCGCATCTGTAGTTACCCGTGTCCTATATACCAAGTCATATTACATATTGCACAGTCTGAACGGCGTGGACATCATCGAAACTTGGGAAGGCGTGCGAGCTCGAGCGGACGGGCTGGCCTGCAGTCGGTCCCTGCTACTGTGCCCGGACATTCTCTGGGACAGATCCGCGGTCTGCTTGATGATACCGCACAATTTAGCCATCCAATCCTTCACGCCCACAACTCGGTAGTGCGAGTCGTCGTACTCCGTGAGAAATCTGACAATTCCTAACGGCTCGCACCTGGTGCGAGGCCCTGGGGCCCAGCTGTTCCGGTGCTCGGACCGCGCCGATTAATACGAATAACTTGTCCCGAACGTTTTGGTAGCGAGTTTTTCTCGGAGGTTACACATCAGTAATCGCGAGGTCTGGAGAAGGCATCAATCTTTGGCTCATCGAGGTTGCATCAGAACTTGCGGCGATGGCGATCGCGTACACTGTCACCAGCCTTCGCAGAGGTAGTTACGAAAGATGAGGGGTACTTAATTCACCCTATGACGATCAAGGCAATTCATGCTCTGAAAGTCGATGGACCCTTGTATTGGGTACAGTACATGCAGGTATGGTAGTACCCGACACGGTGCCAAAAGCGGAACGCCGGTGATTGAGTTATCGCAATTGTCTCAGATTTCGCGGTCATAAACCAGCCAGATCAAGCACGCGACTATTACGACCTCAGCGTAGGGGAAGCAGCAGGATATCCTCATCGTATTGATGGACAAAACCATGCCGCGACCAGATGGCGGGGATCAGCAGTCGGGTGTTCCGCCGCTGGCACGCCTCTAGTCTCGGGACATGGCCAGCCTGTCTCGTGACCTCGCGGTGCGTTGGCGAGCGAGCCTTGGTCGACGGGCGCGTGTACATAGCACGAGAGCGAAGCGTCTGCGGCGACGGCGGTCGAAGTAGGGCGTCCTGCCGCTGGCACGCCTTTTGGGGCATCGCCAGCCCGTTCCGTGACCGCGTTGGCGAGCGCTACCCGCTCGAACGGGGTGGCGCGCTCGTACAGCACGAGGAGGGTGCACGTCTTTGGTGGTAGTGATCGAAGCCGGGTGTCCCACCGCTGGCACGCCTCTTGGGGAATCGCCAGCCCGTTGTGGCTTCTTCGAGCGCGTGGCCGGCGTCTACGGTGGTTGTTTTTTGCCAGGTCTGGCTCGATGCCACCGCCGCATCACGCTCTGTCACGCTGTGTGGCCGCCATGCTAAATCTGTGGAGCCGGTTACTGGACCCCTTGCTCTCCAGCTGATAGATATTCTGAGAAATGTTAGACACACTTAAGTATCACAGCCATAGCACTCATTTTGGGTTAGGCTGAGGCGCCTCGAAAGGGGTCGGTCCTGAGAATTTTCTGGAATGACATCATTGCGAGCTCTTGGGACCAACCCATACTGTGGGACTTGTCACGTGGATCTTACCGCTCGCTGGCACTTTTTTCTGTATCGATGTGTTCTCTGTGCAAGTAAATCCTTGATGCTCTTATTATCACCACTTCAGTGTCACTCCATGGGCGCTGCCGAGGATGAGACAGATGACCTTTGCCAGGATTAGGGACACGGGCCCTGGTAGGGTCACACACCTCTGGGCTTGCTCAGAGGGGATAGGACGGATGAGAGGATTGTGCATCTAATGCAGCTGTGCCCACACCCGTTGCAAGATGAACTCCTTGACGTCCTCGTGTGCCAATCGCTTCTGTCTTGTCTGAGGATTTTACTCTGGGCGTGTGTCAGGGCACGGCTCCCACACTCGCCTCATGTCTCATTGTTCTCCTTTTCTGCTTCCGCTTCTGTCCCATTTTGTTCGTTTCCCCTAATACTTCCACCTCCCTATTTGGTCGCGCTCTCCCGCGCCCTCCTTTTGGTATCTCCCCTATTTCGTTCCGTCGCTCGGCGCTCCTAGGGCCTCCGCACCCCGTGCGGCCTTCCTAGGCCGCTCCACCGGTCACGTGTTGGGTGCCCGAGGACCCTCCCCTTCTCTCATTGGACCATCTTTCGTTGCGCTGATGGATTATTCAGCTACTATATAGTCGCCTGTCGCACCAGGGAGCAACCCAGACTTGTTCTCTCAGTTGCCTCCCTGCCTTGTGTGACAGGTATGTGTATTTTCCCTCATATCTTCATGTATATACTCAGTTGCCTCCCTGCCTTGTGCGACAGCGTCTCCACCGCCATCCCGGGGGATCCGCGCCGCTCCTAGGAGCTCCAGCGTGTACTCTGACAGCGTGGTGCACTAGTACAGTTGCGCACAATGATTTCCTCACTGTGCTAAAGTGCTGCTCCCCGATTTGCTCAGCAGCGCGCTTACCCTTGTCTATTCGGCGCTTGAGCTCTCCCTCGAGTCGTCCAGTGCCAGTACCACCTTTGCTGCCCCTCAAAGCTCGATGATTGTGAGTATGAAGTATGGACGGCGGGTTGCCCTCCGCGCGACCGTTGCCTGTTTTCAGGCACTCACACAGCATGCGGACAACCTCGACAACCTCCCCGTCCATGGAAGGCCCCAATCATCTCCTCTCGCTTAAGGTCATGCGGGTCTCCGTGCGTTCATGGTGCACACGACGATGACCCCCCTCTCATTGCTCTCGATAGTGACCCACGTTGGCTGGTGCTTGGGAGCCGTTCTATTCCAGTTCACCCTCCTTCTCTGCTCGCGCGACTGCATCCATACTGTCCTTGCAAGGCAGTGCGCCATTGCCCGGTCATCCGAAGACACTCCGTGACCTGTCCAACCCTACCAACCTCCTCACATTGCCCGCAGCCTTTGGCTCCATACAACTAGGAGAAACATTCACATCCTGCCTTTGTATCTTAATGGAAGGCGGGAAGGGTGAGCTTGGAAGGTGGGTTGGATAATGTGCGCGGGGGAGTGGTGGGTGACGAGCGCGCGGGGCCGGGAGTATGACGAGCACGGGGACAAGGTCGTTGGGGGAACCCATCGTCCATCGTCTTTGCTGGCGCTGTTGGCGGGCTGTACACATGTGCAGCTTGATCGCGCACGTGGCTGCTGCTGGTTCAGCAAGCACTGGCGCCAATCCACTTATCGAGTCTTCGTAGCTCAGACTTGTGCTGTTATCGACTGGTCTGGCTCTGCCGGATTACGTGCTGCTGAAATGTTGACCAACAAGTTTGTGGAGGTGGTGCCTCGGCGGAAGCGATCGAGTTCGGTCAACGCCAGTGGGTCGGTCTCTCGACTTGAAGCTGAATACCCCTTTCCTTGCAAAAACGGAGCAGTGGTCCCAAGGCTTCGTCTCGACACGCTGTGGCTTCGGCACAAAAACTGGGGGCTTGATCATGGACTTTCGGGCGTCTTCGTCTTTATCATGCACGCTACTTCAGAGGAAGGGTTACACTTCTCGGGCTACAGGGGCTTCCGTCCAATCATTGCATCGGAGTTGATCATTGCCCCTCTCCTCACATTCAGCGCGATCCGATCAACTATACCCTATTCAGCCGTTTCCCCATGACGTCCAACTCGCTCGCCTTTAAGCATGCGATTTGCCAAATGCAGAGATGCGCGCCCACCCACTCCCACCGCAAGTTTGCTCGACTCACACCCTCCTCGACAGCTTTTCCATTGCGTAAGTCGTCGTCAACGGAGGGCGACTGCCAGCATGGCTGCGGGTGCTGTCCAACGGTATCTGAGTAAAGTGGCGTCGTGGTTGCGCATCCCAGCCGCGACCGTCGTACCCCCGCCGAAGGTTGACTTCTCCAGGTTGTTGGAAGATAGGACGAAGACGCCCGTGTCGTTGCAGGAGTACCACGATTATCTGGTCACCCGAGAATATGGGGCTGAGGTATGACATACTTTTTGATGCTACGATCACCCATGCATAATACTGACCCATGATGTAGTCGCTTGATTTCTGGCTTGCCGTCGAGCACCTGAAGACGGGCTCATCCTCAACGCCATCAACCCCTACGAGCCCCGGGATGTGTATGACACCTGCCAACTCGTCCAAGGCGATCATCCTCTCACTTTCCCCTCATGTCCTGGACTTCAACCACGAGAGTACTATCACCGTTGACTCCGACGTCTCTACGGCTCTTCATCCCAAGTATGACGACCTGACGTCGGTTGCGAGTGCCGTCGATTCGATCATATCTCGCTTCATCGCGTACAACTCCCCAGAGGAGATCAATATCGACGCTACAGTCCGGAACGATGTACGTCTTCCTCTCCTCCCCTACACATCCTATTTTCACATTGATCCCCGCGCATCTCGCAGATACTGGACGCATACTGCGCAAACACTCTCACTCCTGCCACATTCGGCACCGCGCAGCGGAATTGCTACGAGCTTATGCTCTTCAACTCATTTCCGCGCTTCCTCGCGTCCGAGCGCGTGGTCGGCAACATTGGCCGCGATGAGTTGCTGGGCCGCAAGCTCGAGCTTGCGCTGATGACGTTCGGCACTGTTGCGCTCATCGTGTGCGCGTTTACAGTACCCGGATTTCCGCGCCGATATAGGTGGGTGTTGCTCTTGACTTCTGGATGGATGTGTCTAGCGGTGAGTGATCATCGTTTAGGACGATGAAACGTATCTTGACGGGCGTTTCATCGCAGTGCTTCCAAATTGCAGCCAACTTCTGCATCGTCTATGGCTTGCTACGCCGTGCGCGTTGGTTCGGCGTCGGGCTTTACGGTTTCCGAAAACCACGGGACAACTCGTACGCGCCACGCTTTCTTTTCTCTCGTGGGACAAGACTCATGCTGTATACTCAGATACATCGAAGAGCCGTGCGTTCGCACAACCCATCTCTATCGCACCTTGGTGTTCCTTGGTATCTCGCTATGCTTCGGCACTGCTTTCGCTGGCATCATTTACGCTATACCGGCGAACCTGCATTAAATCATTTTTCTTTGTATCAACGGCGCTCTCTCTGCGTTCGATGATGTATCATATCACTTCGCAGGCCACATAATCTATGTAATCCATTAATTTGTAGAAATGACTGTGCAATGTGATGTGACGATCGCAAGTCGTTATATGCGCGTGTGTCGAAGGCTTAATACGCTCAATGGTGAACTTATTAGTTTTCATGGGCCGCCTGATGCCCCGCGGGCGCAGAGACGCTCATGCGATATGTGCTTTTCAGCTGCATGGATTATGCTTGTGCCAACGTATCATATACATCGTCAGTGCAAGGTCCTTCTACTCGTCCATCTCCCCTGCGGTGATGACATCATCTTTAGGGAAGACGATCTAATCAGTCCACTTAGCATGTTTGTGATTGGAAGAATGCTCACCGATCTTCAGCACAGCGCGCACTAACTGGGTCGCGAGCAGGTACTGCTGCCTCTTCGAGATCAGAGGGTCGTACACGAATTGCTTTTTCATGTCTGCGTAAAATAGAATTCAGCACAGGCCGACCCTAGTTAGGACGTAAGTAGTGACACACCGTTCTCGCCGCTGCCGACGCAGTCCACGCCAAGGTTGGGTGAGCCTTCCTTCACCTGCCTGCTCTTAATCTCCGCCAGCGTCTCGATGGGGGACAGTCCGCTATTCTCGGCCAGCGCGAGCGGGATAGAGTCCAACGCGGACGCGAATGCGCGCATGGCGTACTGCTCGATTGTCGGGATCTACGTGTGTTACAACCTCAGCTTGATGAACCATGCAAAGTGCAGGGATGGGGGCGTACCTCGTCAGCGGCCTTGCCGACAGCAAGCGAACAGCTGATGTCCGCAGCACCACCACCGTAGACGACGCGGTTATCGACGACCATGTTACGCACGGCACAGATTGCGTCGTGAAGCGCCCGCTTTGCCTCGTCTACGATCTATAAGACGAGATGTCAGAAACATCGCGCCGGAAGGGTGGAATTGCGCATACCATCTTATTGCTACCCCGCACGAAGATCGTGACGGTCCGCGAGTTGGCGCACTCCTCGATGACGAGCATCTTGTCGCGGGTGGTGCCAAAGGTGACTTCGCGGACAAGGCCGGCGCGGCCGAGCTTTTGCGCTGTGAGGTCCTCGAACCTCGGAACGATCCGACCTTGCGTGGCAATCGCGATGAGCTGGGTTCGAGCAAGTCAGATGGCAGATTGCGGGCGAGGGGGATTGAGTCTACCTCGATCTCAGGTCCGCCGACCCATCGCACCGCCGGCAACTCGTTCTGCATCAAGAGGTGGTTCGCCTCGTCGTCGAAGCCCCACTGGCATATAACAAGGTTCGCGCCGGTGTCCTTGACCATCTTGATCATGTCCTGGAACTTGGTTTTCTCGTACTCGCGCAGCTTCTTGTACTCCTCCACGCTCGTGATATCGAGCTTGTGCTTCGTCTTCGGGCGCGGGGGCTCGAACGGGCAGGTGAGGATAGCGAGCTTGGCGTCGCGGACAACCGACGGCATCTGCGGGTGGGACATGTCCTTGTCGACGAGCACGCCCCGGATGAGTGACGTGTCCGCGAGCGAGCCGCCGACCTTGCCCTCGACCTTGATCATGTCGAATGGCACGTCTTTCCGCTCGAGGTCGGCGACGGCGAGCACGGCGTCGACGGCGATTTGCGCGAACTGATCATGCTCTTTGGATACACTATGGGGTTTGCTGCCGTCAGAAGAGAGGCTGCTAGAGAAACAGGGAGCGCAGACATTTTACTGCCGAGACTGGTCTTGGCGGTCTTGAAGAGGTTGGACGTCTCCGTTTTTGAGTACTCGATCTTGTCGGCGATCGTATCCAAGTGCTTCACCGCCGCGGAGCAGGCCTTGTCGAAACCATCTGCTATTCGTATAGGATGGATGCCGCGATCGAGAAGAGTTTCGCTCTGCTCTAAGAGCGCGCCGGCCAAAACTGACGTGCGCGTGTTCAGAGGGTGAAAATGGACCCTCCGGGAGGTACTCACCGACGACGCCTGTTGTACCGTCCCCGATCTCCTCGTCTTGACTCTTGCTAAGTTGTACAAGGAGTTTCGCGATCTGGTGTTCGACTTCCATCTGTCCGAGGATAGTCGCCCCATCGTTCGTTACCGTGATGTCCCCATCGGGTGAGATGAGGATTTTATCCAATCCTACAACCGATCCACCGTATTAGTACAGACATGGGATCATAATGTTACTAATGGCATGCCTCTTGGTCCCAGGGATGTCCTTATTATGTTAGCGACTGTCCGTGCAGCAAGGATGTGCGACTAGCAAGGCGGTCAAAGCTCTGATCCGCGGCATGAATGCTTAGAAGGCGCACCTTGATAGCCTCTACACCATGGCTACGCGTCTTTTTCGCTTGTTCGCGTACGATGATAAACGGCCTTCCATACTGTGGAACCTATGAGCATTTTGTGTCCAGTACAACGGCAGATTCGGACGCACTTCGTCCGTCGCGTAAACCGCCTGAGGTTGAGCCATTATTTTATCCTGAGAGACGATTCCTGGTCGACCCGACGTTCACGCTAAACAGCAGCACCTCCTCAAGCAGCAGTGAATTGCCTCGTGTATAGCAGCTGGACAAGCTACACAAAATTGGCCTGGAAGCTGCTGCAAAGCGGAATCGAAACAAGAAGAGAGAGCCACTTTCAGGCCGCGTGCCTCCCTCACATCATCGCCGCGCATCTCTTGCTCCCCTCCACCCCGCAGCACTCCCTCAACCCTTTCGCTCAGTCCACGATGGAACACGAAGTCGACCAATGGATCGCACAACTCAGCCAATGCAAACAGCTCTCCGAGGCGGACGTCAAGCGCCTCTGTGACAAGGTGCGCTATTTGGCCAACCACAGCATCTTGATAACTTGGCCCACCGCGGCGCACGGCGTGCGTCCGGTCCGATCCTGACGATGGTTTCCCCGTCCTCTTGCAGACACGAGAAATACTCATGGAAGAGTCGAACGTGCAGCCCGTGCGCTGCCCCGTAACCGTCTGTGGAGACATCCACGGTCAATTCGTGCGTCCTCTCGTCTCACGAGACACCACGTCTCACATCCCCGACCTCGCTCATCTGCTTCCTCGCACCCACAGCATGACCTTTCTGAACTCTTCCGTATCGGTGGCAACTCGCCTGATACCAACTACCTCTTCATGGGCGACTACGTCGATCGAGGCTACTACTCGGTCGAGACCGTGACGCTCCTCGTCGCGATGAAGCTCCGCTACCGCGACCGCGTTACGATCCTCCGCGGGAACCACGAGTCACGCCAGATCACACAGGTGTACGGCTTCTACGACGAATGCTTGCGCAAGTACGGCAACGCGAACGTCTGGCGGTACTTCACCGACCTATTCGACTTCTTGCCGCTCACGGCCCTGATCGAAAACCAAGTTCGTATACGCTGCTCGCCCCATGTTCATCCAACATGAAAGCATACGTCCAACGTCCCTTTCATGCCTTCGGCCGTGTGCTCGAATCGTACTAACCTCCCGTCCCGCAGATCTTCTGCCTTCACGGCGGTCTCTCCCCCTCCATCGACACCCTCGACCACGTCCGCTCTATCGACCGCGTGCAAGAAGTCCCACACGAAGGGCCCATGTGCGACCTGCTCTGGTCCGACCCGGACGACCGCTGCGGCTGGGGCATCTCCCCCCGTGGCGCGGGCTACACCTTCGGCCAGGACATCTCCGAGGCGTTCAACCACAATAACGGCCTCACGCTGGTCGCGCGGGCGCACCAGCTCGTTATGGAGGGTGGGTTTCTCTTTCTGACCAAGCCCATCGCCGTCCGGGTCTAGTGCGGCGCCGTAAGACGACTCCCGTGGCTTACGGGTCCTTGTGCATTTTGCAGGTTACAGCTGGGGTCAGGACCGCAACGTGGTGACCATCTTCAGCGCGCCGAATTACTGCTACCGCTGCGGCAACCAAGCGGCGATCATGGAGATCGACGAAAAGTTGTCCTACAGCTTGTCAGTTCATTCCACATGTACTTCCTTCGGCGCCGATATCTCACACCTGCTTCCGCAGCTTACAATTCGACCCTGCGCCGCGGGCAGGCGAGCCGCTGGTGTCGAGGCGTGTCCCCGACTACTTCCTCGTAAGTCAATGTGATCCGGGTTCCTATCTGTTTGCTGACTCCCGGAGGAAACGTAGTAACGACTGGCACGGACTACGGCGATGTTACATACAGGAAAGAAGTACTGTAAATACCCTCTTTACTGTTGCAGGGCGCGATTGTATATCTCTGCACCATTACAGACAGGAAATGTGTTCTCTCGCGTTCAGCATATATTAGACCCATGCTCATGGGTCAGAACATTGAGCGCAATCATGCGAGCTGATCTCCGTTTGGGTGCGATTGCGTCATCTTGGCCGATGCCGAAGTGGTGTGAGTTCGTCACACCTAACCCTGCTCAATTGTGATCCTGAGCTTATAACTCGATTAATTACGGGGGCGATGATTTAATGTACATGGTTTTGTAGCAGTCAGGACACGGCATGGATGATGGACATATAAATCTGTTCCAGAGTTAGCGATCTCGAAGACCATATACCGGCGGAAAACGAATGCGTACACATTATTGATTTCAGGCTTTGCTTTCCTCGATGATTTCCTCGGTGATGACATGCTTGGTCAGCGTCGCGCCGCCGCGCACCTTGGGCACATCACCTGGCGTTTATTCTGTTAATGAGGGTGACACCAAGATGACGTTCGTGTTGTTCACGGTGCTCACCTTTGGCGGCAGGGGCACCGGCGAGAGGTCCCTCGATGGTGTCCTTCACGTACAACGCCTGAGCCGCATATAGTCAGCCAATGATAAATTACGTAGGGCTGTAGCGTCGATGGAATTACCTGGGAGGAGTCGGGACGCTCTTCAGCTATCTCCTCGTGGCGCCTCTTCACATACTCGACAGTCTTGGCTTGGAGATCTTGCGGGGAGCCGGGCGTTGCATCTGCCTGTTACAATGTGAACTTAGTTGTCGTCGACCGTAGGTAGTATGGAGCAAGTCACCTTCACCGCCGCCTCACTAGCACTGGCGAGGTTCTCGTTCCAGCCCGGCGCATGGTCGAGCGGAGCCGATGTGTGCTGCTTGCCGGCCAAGTTCCGTGCCTTTTCGCGTTCGAGAACCTGAAGGATAGAAGTCTCAATGTCGTATCATGACGTGGTCATTTTGGGGACATACATCGGGGTCGTTGTCGTGTGTCGTGCTGCCTCCTCCGATGAACCGCGCGCCGCCCACTCGAGAGACAGCCGTGCCGGGTTTGCGGGTGACAGAGCGAACAGCGGTGCGTGCGGCGAGCGAGTACATGGTCATGGTGGTCGTTGACTGAAGAAGAACAGAGAGCGATTTAGACGGCTTTCGTGGAGGTGGAAGTAGACAAAATGGGACGTTCGTTGGCTTGCGGAGCGCCGGCGGGACGCGAGCTTGAGGTTAAAGAGGGGGAGGAGCCCCAATGACGTCAGTCGACATAATGCGAACGAGGGATTGGCGGGAACGATGTGGCGACGGGCGTTGCCGAGGGGAGCGCTTGAATGAGCTATTTTTACATACAAGTTATCCTCAGAGGTTTGGTGCAACTTGATACTTGCTCGCACTTCGTCAGACGCAGATCGTTTCGCTCTCTAGATGACCGCGTGGTATTGCCACATATCGTGATGCCGACGGAGCCGGGGCAGATGATTCAAGTTGACTCATGACTGCGAATTCGGATCGGCAATCGGAGCAGCACGACTTGTCCATATAATATGTCTGGCACGAATGTCCCAACGAACATTGAGGACTTCTAGTACCCGACGACAACTCAACGATGTCGACAAATTCCACAGCCCCTCGTCCTCCTTACGCTTTCTCCCTCGGTACAGACGACGAACTCGACGTATACGCCGGTGTGAACGCCGCCGCGTTCAACGGACCGGTGATCCACGCCCTTTTCCCCGGTCTAGCCACAGACCCGGAGGGCTACTACGCGTACCGCAAGGCGGCGAATCTAAAGGCTTTCAAGGACCCTAATCTTTACTGGGGAAAGGTGACCCGAACCGACACGGGCGAGGTCGTCGCGGTCGGGAGGTGGTCCTATCACGACGGGAAATATGCGCCAGAGCCGGCTAGCGCGGACGAGGGGCCGCAGCCGCAGTGGGAGGGGGCGAACGACGCGTTCTGTGAGCTGTTCTTTGGCACGTTGGATCGTCATCACCAGGCAAATGTCGGAGATCGACCACATTATGGTGAGCAACTCGTAACGTTGGCAACTTCCTTCCAGTTTATCGAATTGGCCGCGGTCAGTCCTCCAGATGCTTGGCACAAAACCTGAATACCAAGGTCGTGGCGCTATCTCACCCATCATCCGGCATGTGCTTGACGAAGCGAAGCGGAATAATTTGCCGACGTACATCGAAGCATCTCCGGCGGGTTTGCCAGTGTATAAACATTTTGGATGGAAGGAGTTGCCGAGCATTATACGTATACCGCTTCCATCTGGAGAGACGGTCGAATTGGTGCCGATGCTGCGCGAAGCGGAATCGTAGTGAACCTTATTATACAAACGGATCATCAATGCTGCAATCATGTAAGATGGCGGTAGCAGAGCCTGATAAATCTTTCACGCTCATCCACGACCTGCAGAAGATACGGAAAACCAGGACGTGATATACTGGTCACAACATATGGATTCAACGGATACAAATGCGGGCTACACGTCCAAGCGTTGCTACTTGCATGCCTTTCAGTATAGTCACACAGAACGACTTGGAGCATTCTGGATCACTTCGACGGCGGACCCGTGCATGGAATCTCCGATTGTGGGCATTCACCATCGAGGACCTTGGTACAACCGGAGCAGTGACTCGGCTGATGGAAATCGTGGTCAGACCCATTCAAGTGCATTTCACAGGTAAAGGAAGTCACTCACAAGCTCGACGGCAGCAAGCGAGGCCTCCGCGATGCAGTCCGCGCCTTGCGTGGCTGTTTTGATAGGGTCGGAATTTTGCGGATCCTCTGTGTAATACGGCATAGGGAAGTTAGCATGCTCATGCGCACGCAAACCAGGTAACTGCGCGCATACCAGCCGCTTCGTTGATGTCGTTCAAAGCTTCAATGCAGGTGGTGATCTGCAGAGGGAGCTCCGCAAGGGACACGATACATTCTGGAGATTCTCGGTCAACACGCCAGTCACGAGCAGAGGTATCGGGAAGAGGGTTGCCACCGGCTTACCCGTGAACTCGCATTCGTCTGCGCGAAGGGACAACGCAGACCGAGGCTTGCGCTGAACCGCGCTTGCGGCGGAAAGCTCGACAAGTGCGACCAGGGTGAGGAATGCCAAGGAGATGAAAGATTTCATGCTTGTTGCGACGGGTGTCAGATGATCCGTAGACGAGCGATGTTGTGAACCTGGAGATGGCCCTGAGGTATGCAATGGCTGAAGCTGAGGCCTTTTATATGTCGAGTATGCCGATTGCTTGTTGGGGTTGGGTTTCTGATTGTGCCGCACTTCGACGAGCCACGATTGTCGGCGTAATCCAAAGCTCCTTGGGGCAAGTCCATCCTGAAAGGAGTCAAAGAGGGAGTTCAAAATGATCGGACAAGAGACAAGTATACCGGATCCTCTTCGATTTGCGAAGGCTGTGCGCGGACGGGGACGCTTGGGACGGAGCAGGGCCTCCGCCGAGCATCATTCCCGTGCATATCACTCGGCAGCCATGACAGACGTGAGTATGAAACAGCACGTTGTAGCAGGGTGAATGGCTATCTTCGCACTGTGGAGGCTGCATGGGGTATGAAGCGTACTTCTATCATTGTCTTTCCGTGCCATCGGCGAGTTCTGTACTTTCACGTTTCTTGGAATCGCTCCTTCGGAACATCCGCGAGTGGCATGAATGCGGATGTGATCATTTCAATGCGAAGTCTGCGTTGGACCATCTATCAACGAAGGTCTGTAGCTTGTAATGATAATTATGACTTACTGGGGATCGTGCACCGCTTGTGATAGAAGCACGATGAGGAAGACAAAACGCAATAAAAGCTGCTGAGATGCAGCTTCCAATGTCACAAGCCGGCTGTGGGCTTTCGATCCTGTACCATCGCGCCCGAAATTTTGGCCTGCTTCAGATATTCTGCAAGCGGGGTTCGTAGCAGATATCCGCATAACACGTGCGGAGAGGTTGGTGGTTCATATACATATCAAGGACACTGTCTCTTTTCGAGGATGA